CAATGAAAATTATTACTAAATCAACTCGTGTACCAAACCCGATGGCCTTCAAAAGGGTTACTTCAAAGCTAATAAGGGCAGACAAAGTAGCTAGAGAGAGTCTCTGAGTTGCTCACTTTGATGCAACTTGCGTGGAAGTACTGATCACAATGTGATTGCGAAGGTCTTTACGACTAGGATAATGTCGTCGGTTTGTCTTCCGCGGCTTTTTCGAATCCGGGACACCGCAAGAGAGCTCTCTCTATACAAACTGGTGGAGACAACTCTTTACTTCTCCAAGGTTAGTGATACTTTTCTGAACCAACCCAAATACTTTCTCCAGGATGCGTTTGTCCACATATTGGCCAATCGTCGCTGCTGCTCCAAGGGGATGGTAAAGGTGAATGACACCTAGAGGAATCTTGACATAAAACATTGTCATGGTGCGCAGAGATTCGTCTTTTGATTGATTACATATTTTTTTCTCCAGCTGTTTGAGTATACTCCTTTTGGCCATTGTGCGGCTGTTAACTGTGGCACACTACTCAAAGTCAACACCGTAGTCGACAAATACCTTCACACAGCGTGTTTGAATCTCGGCGGGATAATCTAGCTTCCGGGTGTTTCGTGAGCGGAGGCGACTTGTCGTGGAGTAGTCTTGAAATGTGCTCGCTTTTGAAGTGCAGCCCCTTTTCCCATCCTGAAGCGAGTGGAAAAATTTAACCAGATCAATTATCACTATATGGCCGCCAGTCTATCTTTTTTTTTTTTTTAATTTCAAAAAGTTCCATTTTTGCCCTATTTTCAATTCTATTCTTAATTTTGCTTATCAAAGATTGTTCACAACCCTGTTTGCTTAGAATTACCGAGCAATACAGAGATGTTTTCTATCAAAACTTACGTGACAGGTCAACTTGGCGTGACAGGCAGAGTGAAGACCTTTAGACATTGAGTCAAATGAAATCGAGCAAAGCTTTTTCCTCAGTATGCGAAAAGCTCGAAGAGTTCCTCCACTAAAATACCTAAATACCGGATTATGCAAAAATCGAATACTTCTCGTACGTTTTATTATATTTCAAACTCTGTTCTCACCTTTGTTGGTCCGTGGAGGCGATGCCGAGTTTCATTGCTTACGATGGTAAACGGTTTGCCGAAAAACTGGTCCGGTACATTACCATCATTGTGTTCAAAGACGGGAGACGCTGCAAATATATAATTTGAAAAAGTCTTTCGGTATGCTAGGTTACGCACCTAGAGTTTTTTTCAAGGGCTTTCTTTTATAAGAAATATTTTAAATATTTCAACACTTTTCAGCCCGGTGCATTGCGTAAGTTTTTACAAATGGTCAAAAAATCAGGTCTCTACAAGGCCCACACCGAATTGATAAAGGCAAAAAATTTGCTAAAAATAAAAGAAACTGCCCACTATTTTTCGAAAATCTTTTGTGATTTAACTCCTTTGAGTGCAAGGCCTTCTTTACAAAGCATGTGGAACTAATAAGAAGAAACCTCTCGAGCATATCCTTGAACACGTCTCTTTTCCCATCGAAATAACCCAAGCAGTACTGCTTTTAAACAGAACAGTTTTCATGGTTTTCCTCAAGGAAGTCAATCTCCGATTTATTTAAAGACGATAGAATAGTCACTGCCATCATTACGCATTCTAGTGTCTTAATCAAAAATTGTCTTCAGTTTTTAAATATCATCCTTTCGCGGGCTTTCGCAATATTCGCGGGTTTCATAATTTCCCCGCTGACCAAAATTACCGTGTACTCTTACCCTCGACGAACGCCTTCGATATAGCAGCCGTTTTACGTAAGTATCAATCATTGGTCGTATAAACACAATGTTAGGTACACATCAGGTAATCACTTCTTGCCCTGGCTTGTTCCTCCGCTTCCAATACAAATTGTCTACAGCCTCGACTTGCATGTTTCAGTTCGTTTTGTTGCTTAAAGAACTCTATCATAAGGTTAGTAAAAGCTTAAAGAAATATTATTATACGCTGATACTAGTGTAAAACACATTAATAAGATCGGAGCCCCTTCGCATAGATTCCAACCTCAGATTTCTACGAAATGATCCAGAAAAAGTTCGTGTAGCGATTTAGGGATCTAGCGATTTAGTGACTTTTAGTGCACTAGGTTTATAGTATTTGGAAGCTCAACCGTGGAAGATTTTCCCTTCGTATACGTTTGATATATGTTTCCTGCTCGTAAATAAGGGAACCAAAGAGTTCTGAACTGAGGAGATCAAGTATTCCTTTTTCGCTAAATTGTAAATAGAAGGGAATACCTTTGCTTCAGAGACTATAACTACACCGAATATTGATTTTTGTATGTTTTCCTTTTTGCCAGTGAAGCAATGTCCCAAAGCTTGATTAAAACTGGACATAAAAGCTTTCTTTTCGGAATTTTCATATTTTCAAGAACAAACCGTAACAAGGAGAATAACTTTTTTTTGTTAAAATTATGCTTTAGAAAGGAGCTGAAGTAAGCTCCTCTAACTCCTGGTCTAAGTTTGTTCGGTGCGCTTGGTGATTTTTTTACACAACGAGGGCAGATTTGTCCAATTTTAAGATTGTTGGATATCTTTAAGTAGATTTTAATCAGATTTGCCTGGAGTTTAGACGTCAATGCTTTGTCATCAGATGATGAAGGGTCGGAATCAGATACATTTTACATTTCTTCTCTTCGTTTCCCAGTTCATAGACATGTACTCAAAATAGACAAGGAGACTTTTTCTCTCCTTTTAGCGTCATTTGATACTTTGTTTAATTTATCTTTTGGATCGTATATTGTGATCGTGGCAGTAGTCTGAGCGCACTTGCAAAAGTGATGAGCTTATTTGTGAGTCATTCGCTATGTTGGGTAATTAGAGCGGAACGTTTACTGTGAAAGAAAAAAAAAGAAAGAAAGTGGAATTGTTTTGATTAACCCACAACTATGGGTCCTAAGAATACGTTATCTTGAGTATAAAATTCATCTAAAAGGAGATCAGCCTTTATACTCGCGCTCTTTCAAACAATTACAGATTTCCGTTGCGCAAATGACACATTTTTGTTTCGCAAATTACAGATTTCGAGTTTATTTCACAAATTACAGATTTAATTTCGTTTTGCTTCGTAAATTACAGTAAGCCTTCCTTACGAACCAGCAAGAAATAAAACAACAGTTAAATGATGACATCAAGGCAGCAAAGGCACCGCTACATGCAGACGCCGAACGAGAGCTCTGAAGTATTAGAGAAGTTTTACGTCCAAGCATTCAAAATTTTAAGTTCTGAAAATTTGCTCACTTGTTTGAAATTTCTCCTCCAAAAGTTTTCTGCGGTCTTTGGCAGAAAAGACATAAGAGGCAAGTTTTATCTACTTCATTGCTGCAGCTCTCTTGCGTAAATCGAACAGTTCTGCTTTTTTTCTTTCCTTTTCCGCCTTCACTCAAATGAATGCCTCTCTCTCACAAGTAATATTTCATCCTCCCACATTAAGTTTCGATAAATTTTCTCTCATTTTCACCATCACATCACTTATTCTTTATACCGATGAGAGAGACTTCCCACTTAGCTTATTTTTCGCGCCGTAATTTCGGCACCAGATCACTGAACCGCGAGAACTCGGAAATGGCGTTCTCCCTGCGTTGAACGCAATAATTTGCCGTTGGTGTTTCCATTCTCAGAATTTTCAGCTATTTTTTTCGCTACGTTCTTGATGCCGTTTCCACCCTCGATTCACCTTGTCTCGACAGCGGTTATCCAGATCCTTTTTTAAAAGAATAATACTGTACACAACCTTCTCATCCCCCTCTCTCTCTCTCTCTCTCTCTCTCTCTCTCTCTCTCTCTCTCTCTCTCTCTCTCTCTCTCTGTAACAATATGTGTGAGGGTTTGGGTGGAGTTAGCCTACGTGTAGCCGTACCCTCCCCCGATGGTGAAACGGAAGCGAGGGATGCGAGTTGCCTCGCTTCCGTTTCACCTTGGCGGGGGAAGGGTACGGCTACACGTAGGCTAGGGTGGAGTTGATTTATGAAAGCACCGGGTAGTACAGTTGGGGCCACACATCCTATCATCAAAACACTTTTTCATGACATTTTTCCACCAACATTTTCAACTCAAATTTTGGTGAAGGATGGATGAATTATGCTTGTAGTATCAAGTAATTCAAGTTTTATTTTCAACATTTAAGTTTTGTTTTCAAAATCAAATTCTATGCGCGCTTCGGTCAGGATTTCAAGTCTCCCATTCTGTTGCTTTAGGATAGCTGTCGTGGGAAAACCTTTTGACGGAGCTAAAATCTCACCGTGGTAATTTATAGTCTCGTCAAAAAGTATCGTTTTTATTGCTTTCGTTGAGCCAAACTTCGTAAGAGTTGCGCTTCTTGGTCGCAGCATCAGATAAAGTCGCACAGCATGTGAAAACCAACTAGACACAAAACATTACAGCAAAAGTTACGTTTCCTGATCACTTCCTCATTGATTTAGTGAAACAATTCACTATATGCTTGTGAATGTGAGAGCATCATAGGAGCGTTTTCAGGCTTCAAAAGAAATAAGGACGTGAAGCCCAAGGCCCTGTTTATAAGCTCGACACTAAAAGCGTTTCTTCCCCCGCAAATAAGTTTGAGGTCTTGAGCACCGCTTGCCTGGGAGAGTTTTGTAAGTGGTCATGTACCGATAGTGACTGCCGAATTTTTTGTAGACCTCTCGCCGGCTCGGCCTCTCACAGGGTTTCGAGGATCCTTGGGTTTTGAGTATCCCGCTGTGACAGCATTAGTAACAACTGAGTTACGAAGCTAAAAGTTGAGAGAGAGGGAAATTTTAAAAGAGGTGGAGGTGGGGAAGGGGTTAGTGCGTGATACGGTATTATGCGTTTTTAATTTTTCTTTACTAACATACCTCTTGAGGAGTGTATTGACTTAGCGGTCAATTACATTTCCGAGGGTAATCCCGACATTAAGTTAAACAAATCTGAACTTAGAAGCCTCTTCACTACAGTTACCGCCCAGACTCACTTCATATTTAATGGTTCTTTTTATGATCAAATAGATGACGTAACCTTGGGGTCTCCCCTTGCTCCCGTCTTAGCTAATCTTTTTATGGGACATCACGAAAAACTTTGGTTGAAAAATTTTCAAGGCTCTACAATTTTATTTTATCGCCGGTATGTTGATGATACCTTTTGCTTATTTAACTCAGATCGCGGTGCCACTATATTTTTCGACTGTATCAACTCTAGGCACCCTAACATCAAGTTCATTATGGAAAAGCAGGTTAATCACAAATTACCCTTTTTAGATGTCCTGATTGACAACCATGACCCCAAATTCCTCTCTAACCAGGGTTTACCGCAAGAAAATTTTCACTAATTATTTCAGCTTCACCTCGTACTCTCACAAAGTGGGTCTCATTAAGACACACGTTGATAGGGCTTACAGGATTAATAACACCTGGTTAGGGTTTCACGAGGACATTGACAAACTTACTGATATTCTAAAAAAGAATCTTTTCCCTGCTCATTTAATTGAGAAGATTATAAACCGTTACATCACTGGGACCCAAAGCAATCATCATCCCCGGGGTTCCCTTCCCACCACTTCACCTACGTTTTACTTTAGGCTTTATATTGGCCACTTTTCTGCTATCACTCAAAAAAAGATCCGCCATTTTATTAAGCGCTATTGCAATGATTTAGATATTAAACTGGTTTTCTCTTCCATCAAAATTGGTAACCCGTTTGGTGTGAAAGACCCTGTCCCTGACGGGCTCCGTTCACGTGTGGTTTATAAGTTTTTATGTGCTGGCTGTAATGCTTGTTACGTCGGTGAAACCTGCCGGCATTTTTCCACACGTGTTAGAGAGCACTTAGTCATTGACAGGGCCTCTTACATTTTCAATCATCTGAAAGATTCTCCACATTGTCGCGTTTTGTGTTCAGCAGATGACTTCCATGTTTTAGATCACGCCTTCACCAGCTTTCAACTTAAGATAAAAGAGGCTATTCATATTCAAAGAGAACAACCATCCTGGAAGCAACAATTACACCACGTAAATCCAAACTATCCTTTTAATTCTCACACTTTTCTTATAGTCACTATTTATCATAATTAGCATTGTTCTTCCTACTATATAACTCAACTTCCAACGCTTTGTACAATAATTAACTGAAGATGGCAGAAGTTTCTTTCGAAACATGTTTTACAGACTCAAAAGTTTTGTCGCTTTCTTTAAATTTTAATTTTTATGACCAGTGAAAATACGAAATTGAAACCCAGTGGATTGTGGAAGGTTCAAAAGTTCCTTTGCGCTGCCGCTTAGTGTCCTAATGAAACCAATGTCAAGAAAGAAATTAGTCGTGCTTGGCCGCATGCGATAATGTCAGTGGTATCCTGTGAAGTGAGTGCTCAACTTCGTCGTTTTCAGGGTCCTCTCTCCTCCTTCCTCGGCAGTGAAAGGAGGCCTGTGTAACACAACTCGGCCGCGTTTCAAGACTTTCATGATTTAAGCTTTGGAAACTTACTCTTTAACCATGTGGGAGCCGAGTAAGGCTTGGGTTACCATATCGATGACCGGGAAGGCATGGAACCTAACTATCACCCTCTTGCTTAGCAACCACAACAAACTACAAAATGGCGGGTGAGGTTATGCGATCCTAATCCAAGTATTTACTTCTGCAGCCGAGAACGTCGTTTCTTTCCGAAACATTAATGTAGAGAATATGTCGAAGTCGCGTAGAGGAAAAAGTGCATCGGCTAACGAACTAAGTAGATGGGAAACAGAACTGATTCAAGCACCTTTCAGTGAGGTGAGAACAATTTAAGTACAGCAAAGTTAAATTTGGATTATCATAGCAATCTCTTGGCTTTTGTAGTCATCTCCGTCTTTCCCTACTATTGACAACGCTTTCAAGAATTTATTTGTTTTTTCCTTTATAACGAGTCTATCGTTGAATTTTGCTTCAGGAAACTTGGAGTTCTTGTGTGTTCTTTGTTGTACCAAATAAGGCTGATGATAATGTCTTCATTGAAACTATGTCCGAAGTTGTCGCGACAGGAGTGAGGAAGTTGTTCAGCATAATAACATATGAAGGTCTTATAAAGGACGTAAGTTCATTTTCATGTTTAGTATAGACAACTCCACCTAGAAGTTTAGATTTGGTATGGACTACAAGCCTCACTGGTTTGACTCGTAATGATTCTGTTGATGGGCAGATATGATAGTCCACCTTACATTATGAAAAAAGGGGGTAATTATAAGTTTCGAAAGAAACTGTGGTGCTGCGTCGGTGGGAGAGTATAACAGGTAATTTAGTGTTATTTATAACTGAGTTGTAAACGTAAATTGGCTACCGTTAAGAGTTTAAAGCCTTTAAACTCTTTACGTTGGCCAATTTACGTTTTCAACTCAGTTGTTAACACTAAATCACCTGACATTATGTCTCGTGTTGTTTACTAAGGTAAAAGAATTTGGAAAAGGGCCTGTTACAGGAGGTAAGGGAAAGGGTGCAGCTTCAGCTAAACCACCTCAGTTCCATGAAGTATGTGAGCAAGTGAAACCATTGGTTGATCAAGGTGAAGTTATACCTCCTACACTGATGGCTAAACTCCTCAAGTTCAAGTTGTTACAAATCAAGCAGAAAGACTTGGAGAGGAGAGAGGAGGAAAAAAAGGTACCTCATTCTCTCTGCATATTGATACTAGAACCCCAAAGAGCATCAATTCTTTGGCTATGATAGTGACAACTCTCCATCTTTACTTTTTTTGCTCTTACAATTTAAGGCTGCAAAGGCTGCTGAAGCTGCCAAGAAGGACGAAAAAGGAAAAAAGTCTGGAAGAAGCCCTTCTGCTGGTAAGCGATCAAAATCACCAGGAAAAAAGAAGGGTAAAAAAGAGGCAGACATACCTCCATCACCGAAAAAGGATACAAAACTGAAGAGGAGAGGAGATGTGGAAGATACTTTTAAGACTATTGGTAAGCTACACATTTATAGCGGAACTTGCAGAGCGTAGCCTCATAATTATACAAAATAGTAGTAACCCATCAAGCAGAAAAAATTTGGATGTACAACCGTACAAGGTGCTACTTTTGACATGCGTGGTCAACTGTACCACGGGCATGCCAATGCCATGGCTTTGTTCAGTAGTCCAGTGGTCAGTGCACTGGGCTCCGAGTCGGACAACCTGGGTTCTAGTCCTGGCCGGGACAAGTTGTGTGGGAAAAAAAAAGTGCAAGCTCCGTTTTTAGGCTTGGCTAAATCTATATATTATTAATGCACTAATTAGTTTTAAGAAATATGAAAAAAGTATAATTAAAGGAGTGAAGGAATAAACATGGTTTTTGAATAACACCCTTAAAGCATGTAACACCCTGTTGTTTTCATTTGTTTCTCCCATTAAGAATAGCACTTTTGTCCTCAGATGCATGAAGTTAATGACAAGGTGGTATTAAAAGATAGTGAAACTTTATGCTTTATTATGCATAAAGAAATACATTGTCAACAGTAGTGTTTCTGTTTTCATTTTAGTGTTAATTTTCTTGTAGATGATGAGCCTGATGATGAGGGAAGCCCTCATCACTATGTATTAATCCAAGGTATCCTCACAGCTTCAGTTATTTCCAATTTGATTGAAGTAGGTGTCAATGTTGATGCACTCATCTGCCTCAAAGCAGAGAATTATGATAGTCTCACACCCACCACACACCAAAAGGATGAGAACACAGCTGCCAAGGTGAGTTAACAACTGAACAGTAAATATTTACCTACACCACTTTGCATTAGCAGGCAAGCTCTTAAGGTCTTTCATTTGATTAAAGAATTAGGAAATTCTACAATGTTAAAGCAATCCTTCATTTATTATTTTAAGTTTGCCAAATATGCATTGATATTTGTTGCTATGAGGGTTATTTTAAAAATCAGATTTAAAATGCTGTGAACTGTATTGTTTGAGCCATATTTAGATATTACCCACATTTCAAGTATTATTTCATATATTCATGTACTCCTTTTAATATAAATTTTTTTCTTAAAAAAATCAAATTGAGAATCTGCTTGCTAATTGTAAGTAGCTTTGGCTTTCCTTCTCAGTATTCCCCTTTGTGTTAGCTCCGTTAATTTAACCTACGCCCTTTGTCAAATTTTGTTGCAACATTATGCTCCCCTCTCGTTGTTAAATATTTTTTTCTTTTATCTACAGCCCAATTTTCTCCTTAATAACCTTGACAAGTAGGAAAGGGGGAAGTTTTTCAGCAACTCTGTAAAGGATTGTAATTGGGCTCTAATTTTTAAATCTAAATCAAAATTGTTTCAAACCTGAAACATACTGTTAGGGTAACTTTAATGCAGAACTCTCTGGTAAATTTTAGGAAGATGATGTGGAGTTGTTGGAGAGGGAATTAGTCATGTCAGAGGAGGTTGCTCAAAGGCTGGAACAAGAGGCTTTGATCAAAGCATTTTGGGCTGAATCACAAAACATTGTAAAGAAAGCTGCCTCTGGTCACAAGCTCAAAGACGTAGCCAAATATGAAGTTAGAATTAAAGACAGCATCATACCAAAAAGGAATCTTCAGGAATTAGAGGCAGAGAAAAAGGCAATTGATTGTAGACTGTTGAATTAATTAATATTGTGGAATAAATGTGAGAATAAGTTTTTTCTTTTAATTCACTGTGTATCTTTTTCTTATTTAAAAGCAATTATTTTAAATTGTTTGTCTTTTCTTGTTTAAATTGTATCTTTTGGAAAAAATTTTGTTTAAGTTGAGTTTCACTGTTGACTCAATGTAATATATATTGTTTTTCTTAATTCATAATTTGTGTTTAAATTACACAGTAAAGTAATTGTTCTTGAACTGATAGAAGTATTACCAGTACATTACAACATAGTTCAACAGAGATTTATTGTTTGAAAATCTTCACATCAGGCTGAATTTGGAACAGCAATATTTGAGGGTGTAGCTGATGCGTGCTACAACATGTTGGATCATTGGGAGCAGTACAAACATTACCTTAACTTGATGAAGTTGATTCATGTTCCTGTACATTTGAAAGCTTCAGCAAGTGCTTTAGTCATTCCACCTGCTGCTGACCCCCTAGGGTCACAATCTACTACAGCTAATCAGGGTAAGGACTTCTTTCAAATTTTCTGTTTGATGGTTTTCTTTACATTTTGATAGCGTGGAAAAACTGTATCTTAGCTTGTTAACTATTTGATGCTGTAGAGTTTTTAAGCCTTTATTACATAAAAATTAAATTGCCTTTTGTGTACTTGAGAAATTGTTTCATTAAAGTTTTTCATTTATTGGCTTAGGAAGGGTAAATTCTTGCCAACTTCTTGTAAAAGCTTTTATGTATCTCATGAAAGGGTTCCTTACAACCTTAACAAAAAAAAGGAATGAATTTTGAGTTTTCTTGGTGACAAAATCCTTTCTTATCATCACAAAACCTCTGTTTGAATAATTTTAGTAGAGTAGGGCCTGAACTGGATGGATTTTTTGACTAAATTACAATAACGTCTCTCTCATTTTTAATTCCATCAGAGTGGAAGATACCTTCTTACATTTCTGGTGAAGAAAATTGACTGAATGTGTTTAAAGAACATGGTCAAAAATCTGTGAAATTGAAAAGCTCCAAGATTTCTTTTTTCATCAAAAGGAGCCTTAATTTTTTCATGTGGCTGTCACATTGTTTTCCCTTTTTAAGATTCTGTTACTATTTGTGTGTTTTTGTTTTAGATGGTGGCAGTGCCTCAGTTGTGATAGCAGATGCCGACAAACGCTTCTATGATCACCTGATTAGCAGTGTACCACCTGAGAGCCACAGTGTTCCTCTTATTCTTCACTGCTTGTTGGAGCAGGTTAGGGTTAGATTTACTGTAGCAATTACACTTGCTGAGAATATATGAAGAGCTGCTGAGCCAAACTCCATGCAGGTGCACAATATAATTGATATTGAGTATTCATCCATACAAATGCATAACTTTGTGCAATGGGATTCATTGAACAGTTGGCAATTAATTCTAATCTCTACCTCTAGCTGTAATAACCTTTTAACTCCCAATATCTCATTCCTAATTCTCCTCACTGTCTGCCATAAGTTCTTGTCATGTTAGTTTGGAGAATTTGGTATTGGATCAACTTATAATCCCCTAATTGATATTTTTCTTTGTTCTGATCACTTGTCTGCTTGATATTGTTTTGATATTATAAGGAGAAATTCTGTCTTGGTCACTCAAGGTAGTTAAAGGGATAAGTTTGCAAACACTTGTAGAAAGTTGTGCAGCATTACTGCTGGCAAAGTGTCATAGCTAAACAAATTCATGATGCCTGCTCAGTGGACTGTGCTGGTCATTTACTGGCAGAAACAGAAAAAATAATTAAATTGGGATGAGAGAATTACATGCTTAGAGCATGCCAGTTGAAATAAAATGGGCAATTGATTTACAAAAATCCTGTGCAATATCCAGATATGATTGGTTTTCTCACTAGTATTACATAAAAATGAAATGGTGAAAAGAATGTGATACTATTAATAAGTAAGTGAGTGATTAAATAGTTTATGAATTTCCTTCTTCCAAAATTAATGCAAGCCAAAAACAATTTGTTCCCTGAATCAACAACAAAATATAAATACCAATCTAAAAAATTGTTTGTGTTGCAATTTTCTCTGTTGGTCATTGAACTGACATTTTCAGTAGGGGTATCATGTCTATTGATACAGATGAATCATAAAAAAATGAGATTCACATTGGCTCCTCTCCAAATGAAAAATATTTCATGATAATGTCTGAGGATATGTTCTTTATTAGATTATTTGTTATAAAGAACATCATCAATGTCAGGGTGTTATATGTACATGTATCTAATCAGGTTGTTGCAACAGTTGATGAAACAAATCCACTGGATCAGGTTGTTCCACCAAGACAAGATGGTCTCAGCCACGACCTGGCGGCATATATTTCTTGTAAAACATCTAAATTAGCACTGCCAAATGATGGCAAACAGGTAAGGTCTTTGAAGTTTTAAGCCTTTTGCCTGCATGTTGTGAAATGTTATTGTCTAATGTGTAATTGAAACTGCCTTCAGAGCTCAGTATTAGCCAGATAAATCAGATGTTCAACAAAAAACACAAAATGGTACTATTTGCTAGCATCAAAACCTCTATTTTGTGCTACACCAGTAAAAAAGTTTCTTTTAGTCAATACACTGACAAAATGCCCCTACCAAAACATAATTTTAGTTGGCTATCACCTTACAACACTAAGTAATCAATCATGAATTTCTCAAAGGCCCAGCTACTTGTTTGTTGGTTTAGTTCATGAATGTGATGTTCTGAATCTTTAAATTGTCCTCTTTGTATTTTCAAACACACAGTTCAGGTGTCTTCCTGCATATCCTGCTTGGGGTTATTTGTAGATACAAAACACAAAACTTTTATTGCTAGAAACTGTGTATTTGTATGTGTATTATTATATATATTTGTATATGCATGTATGTATGTATGTGTGTGTGTATGTATATATATATAAATGAATGAATGTGGGGGTAGAGTCTACCTTGGCATAAAGTGCTCAATGCTGTGGTAGCAGAGCTAAGTATATATAAGTTAAAGAATTAAAGATGACGCATCGATTCTTTGTGACTCTGAGTTTCATGCCTAAGCGCTCGTCTAAGTCTCGTCTTGGCTAAGTTCTGTCTGACGAGCGCTTAGGTGCAAAACTCAGAGTCACAGAGAGTCAATGCGTCCTCTTTATATATATATATATATATATATATATATATATATATATATATATATATATATATATTATATTATCTGGACTTTGATAGACCCAGTTTGTTTCTTTATTACTCTAGGCTATTACTGAGCCTATAGACACTACCAGACCTCAAAAACTTCATGAATCCCCGGTAATCCTTCAGTATGGTGATGGAATGACATCCCGCCTACATGATCTTGTGCCAGCCAATGGTCTTGACCCACAAGAAGCAGAAAGGTGCGTACTTGATCTCTTTCCTCAAACCTGCCTCAAAGAACTGCCACAACTAGATGGTCAAGACCTTGTGGAGCGTGAAGCAAGAGCTAGTGAGCTGTATCATTTTTGTAAGTCCAGGATGAGTTCCTCTGACTCTCTGGAGCGCATACTGAAGCAATTTGCTTTTGAAGGAATGCTCTTGAAGGTTGCAGATCACAATGGAGATGTTGTGGATCTTGAGGAGGTAGATGAATCATTCAAGTTTTATTCAAACCTGTGGGACCACCCTTACAGCAAGCTTAGTGAGTTCCATGCCTTAAGATTCCCTAATGAGGACTTAGAGATAAAGAAACTTGCCAACGATGCTTTCCTACTGACATCTTTTCGTAATCTTGACGAGTGGTGTTTTGTGGAACATTTTGATCCAAAAACCATGATACAGGTAAGTGTTGGATATGATCAATACTATATAATTCTTGCGTAAGTTGTGTTCAATAATATTAGGGTAGCTTTACGCTGTAAACCTTGGCTTCTCTTAGGCTCATTCCTTTGTTCACAGGCTGTTATGTAATTCTGCTAGGGTAGCTTTACACTATAAACCTTGGCTTCTCCTAAGCTCATTTCTTTGTTCACAGGCTGTTATGTAATTCTGCTATTTTAGCTTTACAGTGTAAACCTTAGCTTCTCTTAAGCTCATTTCTTTGTTCATAGGCTGTTATGTGATTATTGTAGAGCAAGGATCATGGTTTGTAAGCATGATGATGGAAAAGTAAAGTGGTCGAAATTTTGTTGTTATCTAAGTGTAGAAGCTCAGTTTTAACAAAAATGCAGAAATAAAAACGTAAAATAGGACAAGTAACAACTACCAGTCATATTTCAATAAATATGAGCGGTAGTTATAATGAGGATTCTTACAATACCTCAAGGAGTCCTTTTCACTACAGACTAAACCCCATTGGTACTGTGGTTGTGTGTGTGTGTGTGAGAATTTACACCTGTTACCTCTTGTATCTCAGGTGTTGGAAGCTGAACGCCTTGCTTATCCATACATGGACACTTACTATCACAAGCGTGACCACACACTATTACTTGCGTTACACAATCCCGTGGGAGCCAGCTGTGACAGTAGAAGCAAGTTATCCTGGAGCACTAAGCTCCACTCTAATGTGGGCTTCAAAAACTACCTCGAACATGTGGTCAGTTCTATTGGGGACTGGATTCAAGAACAGGTAAATATACGATAACTAAATAAAATATTTTTGTTTTCATGGTATGGTAATGTGAGGCAAAGTTTGTAGACATCATATTCTGCACAGTGCCTATGCTCACAAGGTAGTGTTTGGCATTTTGGTCAAATTCAAGGCAAAAACCGTTGACAGAAGTGACTGTGTTATTGCTTTACTTGGTGTTATTGTGAGTTACCCGAGACATGATCTTTGTTTCCATAACTTAAAAGTGTCTCTGAATTTTGAACGTGTCCTTTAGTAGCATGTCGTAATGATGTGGGATATTGATCAAATGAAGCCTTTAAGTGCTACTGTGGTTCTTTCTTTATTCACTCCGAGCTTTCGCCGTTCTACGGCATCATCCCTGAACTGAAAGAACCACAGTAGCACTTAAAGGCTTCATTTGATCAATATCCCACATGTCTCTGAATTTAGGAATCCTTCAAGAAAAAAAATGTTAAATGCGTCAAAAAAATTAGAAAAGGGGAAAAAAAATAAAAATGTTGTAGAGATGTTCTTGGTTTTATTTTTTAATGAACCGCAATAAAAAAAATATTCCATAAACAACACAACAGGAAAGAATTCGAGAAGAAGCAGCCAGAACACCTACTCCTCCCCCACCGGCTCCAGAACAACCGAGCGTTCCCCTGAAGATTGGCAGTCGGTATGGTCTAATGACCCGACAGGAAGTGGCTCTCATAAAGGCAGAAGAAGAGGAGAAAAACAAAAAGAAAGGAAAAAAGAGCGCGCGGGGGTCCCGAAGTCCAAAGAGAAGTGCAAAGACTCGCGAGAAGAGTGCTTCGCCCGAGAAGAAGGACGACAAAGGTTAACCGTCTTACGAACATTTTAAAACTGTTTCATACAAACACTTCTATTCACTCCAAGCTGCAAGTAGTTTTGTTTGGTTGCTAAGATGAATTAGACTTAAACTGTGAGTATAAAGCAAAGATAAAAACAAACAGCCAGTGGGGCAGTTCTTAAAGGTGTAGTGTTAAAACAAAATACACTCTTTAATGTAACCGCAGCTCACCGAGGTGCGTGCAGCGTTGACTCCGAAAGAAGAAAGCCAGTTTTTTTCCAGTTTATAAACCAAGGGATATTCGAGTGTTGTTGTTCTAAGCGTTACATTTTATAACTGCTTGTTTGCGTCTGGGTTTACTCGCAGATAAGAAGAGAGATGGGTCAGCGTCTAGTCGGCAGAAATCGGCGACGGGTCGAAGTCCTTCCGCAAAAGGCTCTCGTTCTATCAAAAGCGCCACAAGCAAAAGAGGGCTCCAAAGCCGGTCACGCTCAGGGGATTTGGAGGAGCCTGAGATACAACCCGTGGATGAACCTGTCGAGAAATCTTATAGTTTCATTGGTTATGACACAGGAGATAGTTTGATTCACGTGTCCGGGTCTTTAATGACAGTTTTCCCGGCTGACGGTGGTCAAATACAGGTTAACAAGAGCCAGTATGTCCAGGGAGCCAGAAAAGTTTCCACGTCTGTGTTTAAAGATGGTAATATGTTTGTGCTTCATTTCTTGGAACCTATCGATGAGATTCTGACAAAAGAAGAGCTGGAGGGTTTAGAAGAAAAGGATGATTTGCGGATAGATAAGAATGAGAAAGAAGAATATAAGAACGATGAGCTGGAAAAAAGCGAAATTGAAGCTTCTGAGAAAGAACAACAAAAAATCCCAAAGGGTCCAAAACCGTTTTGTGATTTCAGCTCCTTTGTGGCCGAGCTCAGTGACGGTATGGTTTTAGCACTCAGTGGTTATGGCCCGTCAGGTTCCTTTAAAGAGAAAGAGTCAAAGGAATCAGAAGAAACAGTGACAGGATATTTAAAGGCAGATACAGTTATGCCCCCCCAGCCTACGCCCAGTCCACAACCCAAAGCAGGATCTCCAAAAGCGCGGAAGAGAGCAGAAGAAGAGGCTAAAAGAATGGAAGAAATACAACAGCAGCAGGAAGAGGAAAGACTCCGATTGGAGGAAGAAGGTAGACAATTCTCCATACGAAGTTAAATACTGTAAAATAACTCTAGTCAGCTAATTCAGATTTTTATTTATTATTTTAGCGCGACGAAAGGCGGAGGAAGAGAAGCTAAGAAAACCATTTCAACACGTGTTTATCACATGTCCTGACGGTCAGCATGTACAGTACTTAAACGATGACTGTTATAAGAGTTCAAGTAGTAAGGGAGGAGTGGTTGTGAGACAGAGCTATCCCATCAGGCCTCTTGGGTCTGTCAAAGAAAAACCAGCATCAGAAGAAATCTCTCGCACCATTATGACTGATGGTACAGTTATTAGAGTGAGTCTGAGTTTGTTTCTTCACAATCTTCCTCGTTTTTTTTGTGTTGATATCATTTTCAAATTTTATTCGGTTGATATTCGAGTTAACATGAGAAGAGCGATTTGGAGAGGGTTCAACTTTGTTCAGATAATCGGCTCGACAAATCACATATATATTAAGAACCTTAAATTTAGCTTTGTAATTTGAATAAGTTCAGTTTAATGGTCTTGTACTAACATTATAAAAATACTCTTTCTCGGACCGTCCACTGACTCTTTCGTTTGATTATATATGCAGCTACTTACCGATGGGAGCGTTCAAGTGCTATTTCCGGATGGTGCAATAAGCAATTGTGAATCTTACCCTATGAAAAAGGCCCCTTCTAGTAGCAAGCCAGGCAGTGCTGTAGCCAGACAGGACCCATCGATTACAGCAGCTAAGAGAAGCGTTCGTGGGCCAGGAACAAATCCAAAACCATTGGAGGAGCCTTTGGTGCCAGCGATCTCGCTCCCTGATAAAGTACCTGTATGGTCTAGTACAGGTGTGGATGGGAGTAAAGTGCTGAGTCTGCCTGAAGGAGGCTATAAGACTGTTAATGGACTGCACTGTTCCACAGCCACGTGTCCTCAAAGCGGACAGGTAAGTACAAATGATCGAGAGGGGTTAGGGGCTGGTGAGGAATGAAAGTAAACCGGTGTTATTAAGTAATTTTAATTGTGTCCATACACCAAATCTCATTTCCTAAATTTTTTTATCTTTCGATATGTCGTTTTTTGATGAAACAATTATTGTGAATTTGTTTATATGTTTATTAAATAATCCAAAGAACCATTCCCTGTTGATCATTACCTGACGTCATTAATCCCTAAGCGTCACCTTCTCCAGTCTCCAACAATCCTAATCATACTATGGCAACAAATCTTTCCAATGTTTGTCCCGGTAGATCATTATGGAGATAACTCTAGCACAATGTAGGGAGGTTCTTTAATATTGACGGAATTCCTTTTTTTACATTACGATTTATTCAACTTCTCTATAGCCGCCATGTGCCTGTCAAGTGCTTGTGGGGTAGGATCCATTCCTTAGCGCGAACTTTAGAGTAAACGGTGAAACAAAACACGCATTTCTTTAAATAAAATTGTATTTTTTAGGTACTGAAAACGCGCGAGGATAATGTTGTCATAATTGAGCGTCTGGATGGGACACGAATTGTGGAACACGCGGACGGAACACGTTTGACGACATTCTATAAAAAGGTTGAACAAGATATTCACATCCCTGACAATGAGGCGGGAGAACAGGGTGTCTACTCTGACGTCACCAAAATGTTCGTGAAGGTAGAATGCATAGGATTCCCTACCCTAGTTTTTGATCGTGATCTGGGTTCGTGCGAAACTATATTTGGGAATGGCACAAAAGTTGATACACAAGCAGATGGCGTGTGTATTATGTACAGACCTGATGGGAGTCAGTTGCACATAGAAGCAAAAGGTGAGACTCTAAGAGTATCTTAAGTGGTAGTTAGGGTTAGGGTTAGGTTTATCACTGTTTTTTTAGAATAAGGACGAATAAAAAATGTGGAAATTACGCCAAGCGGATGACCATGACAATTCTGAAGATACTACTGTTGGTCTTTCACCAATATTTACATTAGAAGACAAAGACTGGATTTAGAATGTGTTCCTGACACTTTAGGGTAAATTGTCGGGTCGTATGCACCTTTTTCAGGTATTGTGTCCTACTATGGCCGTGACACGCAAAATTTAAACAAAGATTACGGGAACGCCAAGGCACCGACGGGGGTTTATGTCATGCGCACTGCCAATCAACTCTGTTTTGAAATGACGGATGGGAGAGGGACACACTTTACTGTCTTGTCAAACGGTCGCATTACAGTTGACAAGGAGGAAACTGAATCCACATACCAAGATATGGTTGCGAAGCCAGATTATGCGTCAAATGAGAAGAAGGAGCGTTTAGAACCAGGGCCCTTAGAGACAGCACCTGTAAGTCCCATAGTACCTCGTTTTTTTGTAATCCATGCCGATGGGTCAGGCTCTGAGCTTTTGCGCAGTGTTGACGTGCAGGACTTCTTGAAACAAGCCGAGGATGACCCATTAACAGCTGTTTTAAGGAGCCCCTTGGAAGGACATGCCGACGTAACGGGGATCACTATCATGAAGCCTTATTCCGGTAAGCGACTACCTAGTTGATTCAGCATGATTTATTATACTACTGGTATTAAAAACCAACAAACTGGTATAGCAGAATATTGTTAAAGCTTAGAAAAGGAACAAGGGAATCATCGCTCTGTCAGTAAAGTGTGAAAGCGATAGTTATTTGAAAAAATTCCAATAACAACTATTGTGTGTCATTAATCAAAATGTAATATCATAACGGCAGTAACAATCAATATCTAATGTAACAACAGCAGTAATTAATACTGTAGGTGACTTAAGCTCATTTATCTAACCCTAACTCTAACCCTAACCCTAACCTTAACCCTAACCCAACACTCGACGAGTTCACAGTCTGCATGTCCTCCAAGCAGTGTTTCGATTGAAATGCAGGTGGAACTGGGAAGATCTGGTTGAAAGAAAAAGATGAGGGGCTCATCATTCCACCAGGGCTTAGAGAGAGGGACTTCAAAATGATGTCTTCGAGAGAAGTTGAAAAGCCAGGACCTGTATTTGGCACTAATGCTGGTAGGAACTCTGTCTGAAGGCGTTTTTTTTGGGAGTTTCGTTCGGTTTTTCTGATCATATTTTCCTCTGATACCAGATGTTCCACCGAATTGGATACGTTTGTCTTTCAATACCCTTAGGTAGCGGCCTTAGCGTTGGCTCCCGTGTGAAACCGACTCTCCTTCCTAATGTCACTTGTCCACGGGTTCTAGAGTTCCGTCAACTTATTCAGTATAAGCCGTTGACTCTGGACCAAAGACAGCAGATGGTGAAGGCCATACAAGCTTATAGCGATTACCTGGAAAAGAGACAAACAGGATTGGACTACTTACTGCCAAGAGACCCAAGAAATGAGAGTGAGAAGATGGTTGCCGAGGAACTGGAAGATAAAGTGAGAGAATATCTCAACTGTTGTGGTTACTTTTCTGGTGGCTTCTTTGAAATTTCTCGCACTGATTTTACTCAAGTATTTAAAAAGAAAAGAAACGGAGAATGCAGTCGTTCACGTTTGTCGATAGGAACTCTATTCATCTCAGGCTTTTTACAATATTACGATGATTGACGTTTTGATTTTAGGTAAGGTTCCATGAAAGCGCAGATTATAAAGTTAAGGCTCATGGGAAACAAGGTAAATAAGCAAGTGGTCTACAGTCTTAGTAATGAAGTGTTTCTATTTTTATTGTAATTGGTGTATTTTTTTTTCGTGAGCAAACCACAAATTGGTTGGGACACTGCCAAGTGTAAAAAGGACTAAATATTTTCAACAACTGATACCGTATCAGGCCTTAGTTGACAATCGTTAGCAGGTACCAACACCATAAGATATGTTACTTGCAAGGTCAAAAAAATTTGAGGGCCGACTTGAAACAGAAGGACATTAACAGCTTGTTGACAGATTCAAAATGATCTATCTTTATCCACATATACACTTATCCTCCCCGTTGCGAGGACTCTCTGTACCCTGATCATTATAGTAGTATTATACCGTCTTAAAGGATTATTTGAGCTTATTTTCACCTTTTTCATCCTATTTAATAGGAATATTGTTGGAAGATGAAATACTAAACACAGCTGAAGCATTCTCTGGTGGGTAGGGCTCTAATGATGAAAGAAATCTTTTTGTATAACCACTTAGCAACCTTTTGTTTAATTTATTTACTAACAACATCATTGTGAAACAACTAGGAATGATCTGCTTTAGCTTACTTATCGTGTCGTGTTTTTTTGGGGCAGATTCATTAAAATGTTTTCAGACAGGAAAAGTGTCAGCGGACCTATTGATTTTTCATATGATATTATCAGTTTTTGAGCTGTCCTTAACCATTTTGTAATGTAGGCAAGACGAAAAATCGGGATATCAGCCACGCATATGTCGACGAAATAACTCCAGACCCAGTCCTACCTCCTCCACCCCCAAAATGGAAAAGATCTTTGTCAGAGTGGGAGCGGGATCAAATAGAACTGGCCGAGCTGGATTATGGGAAACATGCCTTAAGATACAAAGAAGTTCCTCCCTATTTCGAAACGAGATCAGGTATGAAGCTATCAACAAGTTAATAAATGCAGAGAAAATAGGGTCAATATCAGCTTGTGAAAAGATTTCAATTGTAGCGTTAATAGAAGTGTCTTTATGTCAGGGCAAGAGTTTCTGAAAGGTATTCACAGCCCAAAGGTCCCGGATATGGAAGCGTTAACTTCAGAATTAGCAAATCAAACACGTCATCCACCCCCTGGAGAAAGTAGCCCCGCTGAAACACCAGAAATTGTTGTACACGAGGAAAGCGCTACGTCTGACTGCACAGGTATGATGTATTCGATTATCTCTCCACCGTTGTAGTTTATTTGCTTTCCTTTGTTTACTTCGGATTTTTGTACAAGTCTGTACTTTTCAAATGTACTTGGAATTGTTGCACATGTAATTTTATGTAAACTGTTTTCTATTTTGTTCTTTTGGTTGAAGTTGACCCATTATTATCCCTGATTCTTACAACAGGTGAAGGAAGCAAAATTGCTCCTAGCCCTGATGTTGTTCTCCCTGCAACAAGTGGAGAGCTTTCCTCGCATCCAGCGGGAGAACCAAGTGCCACGCCAAACGGCATAAGACCCACTAACCCCACTCCTGCGCACGCTACTGGTAACGGCACCCCCACCCCTGTCCGTCCAACTAATCCTACTCCTTCACAGGCCTTCACGACCGCTAATCCTCGTCCTAGTAATCCAACACCTCGCCAGGCTTCTGAGCCTCTTTCCCAAGATTCCCCCCTCCAGGGGGACTCCCCACAGTGGAGAAACAATTTAGAGTCTGTTCAGGAGGTGGATGTTCCGTCGTCGCAGGAGGAGAGATTGGAAGGACCCATCGAACCAGAGGACGCAGATGGCTATGAAAACGGTCCAGTGTTTTCAGGTGAGGTGCTATTGCAACGGTTCATCATGTTATGCTATGCAATGCTATGCAGTGCTCTGCTGTGCTACTCTATACGGTGAACTGTTGTGTTCTGTTACCTGCGTGATGTGAATTCTGTTAATTATGTATGTGTCATGTCAGGTCTTGTTATGAATCCAGTAACTTACATAGTTTGCTTTGTTTTCTCCTAAATTACTTTTTAAAATCGGATTATGAACGTTATTTGAATGGTTCAATTTTCTCTTAACAGTTGAAATGCCGCACATCAGTCCCAGAAGTTTGTACTTCGATGTTACCGGAGAAACCAGGAAAGCTAAAGTTAAACTTCCCAGCTGTATAAAGGGTTCTAAACCTGGAGCTCTTCCCAACAGCCAGGTGTGTTACTGCAATTGACACCTGTTGTACAAATTTGAATTAATCAACCCGTAGCCAAAGTGTTCTCTTTTCCGTAAACCATGGGGTTACTTAAACCAAACATTAGTGAAGTGAGAGCGGTGCGTTGTTGGAATTTGCGGTTTGTTGTAACTTCCTAGCACCTTACGGGGAGAGTGAGAAAGGTTCTATTTCTCGTTTCTTCACGATCATAATTTACTGTACACTACTTGAAGTTAACCCAGTCTCTATTCATTGTGATGTTAAGTTCTGATCATCATCTGTTATTTGTTTAAACAAATTTTAGTTCTACGAAATTGAGGACCCCGTGCGCCGTCGTGTACACACAGTGTCTGTGACGGGTGGTGATCAGCAGAAAATCGAGAATCTTCGAGGCTTTGAGTTGCTGCCGCCACAGGTGTCTTTTGGGGTGCTAAAGGAAGGCTGCACTTATGTTCATAGTGTACTACTGAAAAATGTCGGCATTGATAGCTGTCGGTACAAGATAAAGCAGCCACCACCATCGACTGGCTTGCGTATTCTTTATCAACCTGGACCTGTAAGCCTTGTTTCTTTTATCGTGTTATTAATCTACTGTCAGAAACCCAACATATGTTATCATGTTCCGCTTATTTTTGAAGGTGGCGGCGGGTATGAACTCTGTTCTGGATGTGGAGATTTTTGCTGTGGCAGTAGGCGTGGTCGGAGATAGTGGTTTAGGTCACGTGGGACATCATGTGGAAATAGTTACAGAGACCGACATACTTTATCTTCCTGTTACAGCAAATATCCTTTTTAATCAAACCCGTGTTTATTAAGAAATAAGGTCAGTTGAGATGAATGCTTAAGTGAACAAGGCTTGGTGTGACATCTTGCCACTCCTAGTAAAGTTCACCTTCCTTTCAAAGCTAGGTATTGTCGAAATCGACTGTTTTAGTAATCTTAATTTGATGATATTTACTATTAGGGTCTTTCCTTGACTAGTGCTACCCATCATGACTGTGTACGAGTATGAAATCCGCTATGGTGACACCGAGGAGGGCCTGGTGCAAGGAACGCATCGCGTACCCAACAGGCCGCCATCCAGAGACCCCACTCGGCCCCGTAAAGAAGGAGACTACGCTGTGATAAATACGTCTGTTTGATACATAGTTAATGCTTCTGAATCACGAGTGCTTATGGAGTGTTATCCCTTGTTTTCGTTATCTTTTTTTTAAGGAGTTGTTCACTTAGTTCAGTGTTTCCTGCTTGTACAAATGTAATAGAATTGTCTCATATATTTATATGAATTTGTATGTTTTTCTGTCGTTTGGCTTAGCTTCGTACTTACAGGTTAGTAAACAAGTTTACAGCAAGAGATGGGAGTTGCTGATGTATATTACATCTGCAAATTAGTTGTGGTTATTACAGTGTTCAGTGTTCTTCATCTACCTGGATAGTTATGTTTGATCCCTTAAGTTGGCCTGGCCAGCCAATCCCCTCCACGCCCCCAGTCTTTATGGGCAACTTGGTGCGAGTGGATCGCTAAAACTTCAGACTAACCAAGAACGTACCCTTAATTGAATATGAAAGCGACCTTCGCAGTAATGAATACTACTTGAGCAGTAGTGAAAATAAGGCCTGAAAAAAGTTCAGCCCTGTACAGGATTCGAACCCATGACCTATGCTATACCGGTGTAGTGCCCTACCACCTGAGCTAACAGGCCAACTGGGAGCTGGTCACTATGTTGGTTCGTGATAAACCCTGAAGTGGTGAATAAATGATTGTGAATATATGAAAATCATATACGTGAACTGCGGGTTAAGAAATGGATATGTAAGCGATCTTCGTAGCAATGAACACTACCTAAACTGGGAGCTGGTCATCATTTTGGTTCGTAATAAACATAGATGTTACATATATGATTTTCAGTTGGCTTAGTTGGTAGGCACTGCACTGGTATCGCAGAGGTCATGGGTTCGAATTCCGTACAGGCCTGATTTTTTTTCCAGGCCTTAATTTCCCTACTGCTTAAGTAGTGTTTATTACTGGGCAGATCGCTTTCATATTCATGTCGTTATCCACAGTTCACATAAATGATTTTTATATATTCACAGTCATTTATGTACCCTCGGGTCGCTCCGTGGAGTTAGTTTGTTGCCAGGACTTAGTTCTTGAATGGATGAACTTTTATCTTAACGAGTCTTGTAATTTTCGATGGATAAAGAAAGGAAATGCCAAGTTAAGGGTCAGAGTATAATCCTTGCGGAAGTTGAATCAGTTGATGGGTCTTCCTTTAACTTACACCGGGTATTAACGAGCGAGTTATTGTTAAGGTGGACATTATTGTTAGAATTTATTCACCATGAGTGTTTCTTAGATGGAAGACAAATGTCAGAAGCAGGGTATGTTACACTGTAATGTGGTCCCATGTGGTACACTATGAGAGCGGGGTGAAAGGGGGGGGGAAGAGGAGGGGGGCATCAATGAGCCTTCTTGCAGAATTTTCTTACTTAATGTTATACACCACTTTTCATGCATTCTCCAACTAATCTTGGGTGCCTGGAGCAAGAGCCGCTAATGTTTCATATAAACGACAGCCTGAAAGCTTTTATCTCAATAAGTTAACGTTACAAGACTTAAAAGCAGTGGGCATCTCAAAATATTTTATTACAATTCTTTTGGAATGTATATATTATTTTTTTGTAAAAATATCTCTCGGTTATCAATATAATATACTATCAGAGTGTTTATGGATGAGATAATCAAAAGCGTATGTAGTTATTTGCGTTTGGTAAGTACATCACGAAAATACTAGTAAATACGATATTTGGAATCTTAAGAAGGTCATATTAGTTAAAGTAAGACAACATATCGATTTCAATTATATAATCAAAATAGAGTAACGTATTTAAACGTGACCGGTTTACCAGTCAGAATATGACATTAGTGACTGTCACCACACAATCAGTTGCTCAAATAACCCACGAATTGTTTCAGAAATTCACTTAGGGTAGCTCTAGACCAGTTGGGTTACTTCCCGAGGGGTTCTTAGAGGAGACACGCCACACCTTAAATTTTAAAGTTGTTGGTTTGTAATCAGTGACAATGTTACTCATCAATATCCCAACTCGCTCATTTAGGCTGTTTTAATATTCAACCAATCTCCTATATCATAGCCTTTGCTACCCTTGACGACACTTTTTCACGTCAAAAACAAACGAAAAAAATATAATGAAGTAACGCCTTTGAGAACCCTCTGAGAGCGTGTAGAATAAAAAATCGAAGGCAAGTTAAAAATCTTCAGTTAGGTTGTTTGAGTGTCTGACTGACAGTCCAGTGAATGCCACAGTGATATTTGAACCGTCTGAAAATAGATATACCATATGCAGTTCACATACAGCGCACAGTTAACTCGTTTGACTTAAACTCACAACTGTCTGCTCAGATTCAAATCCAGACTTTGGGCACAATTTGGAATGGTCATGACTGTTCAGAGGCAACTGCTTGTTCACCCATTTATTTTGAATCAAAAAATATATTTTCATCTAAAACAATGTAGATTCGTCTGCGTTTGATAGTTAAGGATGGTAGATTTGCCTTATCACAGAAGAGCAAATAGAAAAGAATTGAGATTCACATCGCTGAGATTCATTGCCAGTGTAATGATCCCGATCAGCTTCTAAACACATTATTGCTAATATTTCGGTATATTTATGTCAGTAAAAACGCTAACGTATTTGTGCGTAGTGTACTTATATCCAGAGTATACAGATTTCGCTGGAATCCATCTTTGAATAGAACCATTGAATTTGATCAATTAACTATGCACACAGTTCATTTTAATTCCAGGAAATGTAAAAACTTCCTCTTTTCAGTAGGTGATTGAAACAGTTTCCGATTTCAAACCTGAAGAACAGTAACAAATAGTCCAGTTAAAAGTGAAGTTCTCACCATACTATACTTACGTTCACACCTGGACATACAAATTTCATAGAAAAAAAAAGACAAAAACAATAGAAACCAAAGAAACAAACAACGAAACGAGGCTTGATGTGCTCAATCTCTGGTGGGAAACTCTAAGGAAATAATTCAAGGACCAGACGAAAATGAATGCCATTCAAATTATTCTTTACTGAAACTGGCACAAGTTTTAGCTTGTGACCTGCACTTCACTAAAATGACAACACCCTTCAGTTTGCTCTGTTTTTCTGTGCCTTTTCCATAAAAACAACAAAGAAGTAGAGAATAGCGAGAAAGGCTGTAAAGGAGAACAAAAACAATAGAAGTGGTGGCCTCAATGTAAAGCAACGCTAAGGTGTTGGCGTCAATTTAAAGGACACGACAACAGAAAGACCTAGCGAGACTGCTGTAAATCTTGGGCCATACTCTAACAAGACCACTGCAAGGTGGCAGATAGGTAGATATCATGACCAGAAAACAAGACTGGAGCCAGGTTGATGCAAGACTGCAAGGACACTGCAGGACTGCTGCAAGACAGAACATAACTGATACCAAAGCATGTCTGTAACCACATTGCAGTGGGACAGAAGAAATTTTGAGAGATAGAATCGAAACTAAAGACTGTAGCAAAAATGCAACCAGACTGTGTCAAGAAGGGCTGCTGTAAGACATACACAAGACTGCAGCAAGTATGAACCCAGAAGTCAACAAGAAAGTAAGACAGCAGCAAAATGAGAATGAGAAGGCAACCAGTCTGAAGCTAGAGTGCAAAAAGACAAGAGTAAGACTACAGCAAGTCTGCAACCAGACTGCAAGACAGTAGCAAGAGAGAAATCAGACTTCAACAAGGCTATCACCACACTGTAGCCAAGCTGCACCACAACAGAGGTAGGACTTCTGACACCCCAAAGGAAAATCAGGGAAAGATTGGTTAAAAAAAAGAACCATTAGCTGTTTGTCACCCTCACCTTTTTTTAAGACATGCAAAAGGATAACAGGATGTCATGACTATGAAACAAGGTTACTTGTCAGAGAAGGAAACACATCAAGAAAGCAGCTGAAAATTTGTCATTAATAATAATTAAGGAACGTAGATTCCACCAAAGACATGCAGACAAGCCTTTTATGGGAATGACAGGCTCAATAATTACAGCAGTTCCTTTATAAACCACAATGACACAGAGGGAAGAGGGGGGGGGAGGAGGAGGAGGAGGAGATAGAAAGGGTTGTGGCCAAGACGATGGCAATCAAGTGGCAGTTGAATGAAATCTAGTTTTGGTTATCCAATGGCACCACTAGTAAAAGTTAAAAGAATGTTACAATTGAACAAGTTTAGTCTCAAAATTAGATCTTTATTGTTACAATCAATAACCACATGACTTCACAACACAGAGAAATAAACAGAATTTCTAACGCACACTTAACATGAAAGCCAAATATCAACAATGTCACAGAATTTCACTGTACAGCATATAACATTGTATAACTAATGACACTATGAATTAACATGCATATTTCACTTTATCTTCATTGATTAAATTGTTACCCTATCCAGCTATATTATAATTACATTTATCATCATCATTTATAACAAATCACCAACAAAACAAAATTCACTCCACATACAACAACACAACATAACACACCAGTTACAGAACAATGACACTATGAATTGTCTGTGTAATAACTTTCTCCATCACAGACACCATACATAACCCTTTCAGCAACACCAGATATTATTACAGTCAAATGCAAAACAATATTTTTACCAATTCAACTAGTATAACCAGTAATAAAGATTTGCATACAAAATATGATGCACATATTTTGTCTATTACATCATCTACATGTACACTCAGAATCTTTGCTCCAATTTTATGAATGGTAAGAAAATTAAAAACAAAAGTCTGTCTTCAAAAAAGAGTAAACAGACAAAGAGCAATATAGAACCTGTCTGTTAAATAAACCATTGCTTGAATGAAAAGGGCCAGTAGTTATGTTGGAATGAAGTCGACTGAACAGCAGAAAATGAGTCTAAATACTAAATGATAGAAATCTTTCACTCACTTAAGCTAAATTAGTTTACCAGGTAAAATCAATAAGTGGTTTAAATGTATGCATAGAATGATGCAATTTGTTTTACTCCTTAAGAATTTTATTTGTACATGTCATCTATCTTGCTTTAGCTTTTTATACATATGTAATTAGAAAGGGAAAAAATGCAAGTGCAGCTGAAAGGGCAGTCTAGTGACATACATTGACAACACTACAACATATAAATTTCAGTATATATTACATTATTAAATCTGATAAATTCTCTTCAAACATACAGAAATATATTAGGATCATTTGTTACAAAACTCATTTTTTGCAATAGACACTAATCAATTAGTCCATAGTCAAGTGCAGACTGCAGGCACAACACAAAGAACTTTAGCAGTTTCTCCAGGCTTTACATTAAGCCTGGTTATTAGTTGGTCTTCTGCAGAATTAGTCTAGTAAGAAAGAGAAGTTATGTATTAGTATCAATTACTTTACGTTAAATAGCAATGATGGAAAGACTGCTCATGTCCACATATTTTACTCTCATATAGTCATTAATGCAAGCTTGTTAGATGAGGGAAGAAAAATTCTGTTTAAATTTACAAGGATAATACTAGTAAAGCTGTCTTCCATACAAGGTTTCATGAATAGAATTACAATTTCAATGTACATTTTGCTTCATGATATAAGTATATGAACTCAGTATAAAAGTTTTAGCAGTAATTACAATATGAAATTACTCTCTTCCTATCAATTTATGAAAACTGTACTTAAAAGCATTTAAACTCCAGGGAAGAAACACCTGTGAGTTTTTGTAAGGTGTAAGGAGTGATCAGACTGACACTGCTTGAAAGATGATGGTGCAATTCATCAAATAATAATAGAGTCCTTAAAATTTTATTGTTTCAAACAGGTTCTACCTGAAGTAAGAATGATTTTATCAATGGCTAACTTACTTCATCTTTGGTAAGGATGTTCCCGTATAGGTCTCCGTGGTTTAACTGCACCTAAATATTGATGAAAACATTACCAACTTTACCGTTATTAATGTTGATCATTTGTTCTCAATGTCAAAAGATACGTTATGGACCACGGGCAATACTTTAGTGTCTAGTGATCCTTTGCTTTTTCTATTTATGATGCACTTACAGTTAATATTCTTGATTTCATTTTTCTGGCTCACCTCCAAACGATACTCTTTTGTGGGTCATTGTGTCAGGCTTGTTAGTAAACTTGTTAAGTCAGACTCACCAAGGATGGAAGTTTCCAGTCCATAGTCAAAAATGGTTCCTGGTCTGGTTGCATATGATGCAAATTCCAGTCCTGAAAGGCTGGCAGGGTATGCACTTGGAACTGAGAAAAAAAATATACAAATTGTCACTGACTATATTCCACCACAACTCTTGTTTTAGCTCAGGTTGTGAGATTTAATCATCTGCAGCCCATAACTTCAAACTTCACCCCATTTAAGTCAAGAGTAACTAACAAACCTTCCCTGCTGATATTCAAGGTATAGAAACTTCTGTCTGAGCTGATATACCCTATAAAATATTTGAATTTTCTCTGCATAAAATTACAACCAAACATGGAATGAAGCATTGACAACACCACATACCAGGAGGTCTTGCAAACCCATATCCAGCTAAGGCAGGTGGAAGAGGCATCCCCAGAAGACCATTGTGTATAACTGGAGTATTGCCTACACAAATAGTATCTTCCGGTGAAAAAAAGCATCCTAGAAGTCACAAGCAGGCTATAAACAAACCATCAAGATTTGTTCCCAATGCACTAAGCTTAAATTGTTAAAAGTTGCTATTTGACAGCCTAAAATCATCACCTAAATATTTGATGAAATAAAATCTTGGATTTCCCTTAGTAGGACAGTATGTTCAATATTATATGGTGTCAGTCTGCTAAAGAAACAACTTATGCAGCTAGTTAAGAACCAAATTATTTTCCAATTGCCATGGCAACCAAAACTAAAGCAGCAGAGAGCAAACCCCAAATCTCACTGTTAGCAAATTTTTCATAACAATTGCTGATATGGTTTGAAAAGCTGTGACTTTAGTCTGATCAATCCTCAAAGAGCAAAAGGAAAAAGGACAGCTAATATTAAATATGAACATTTAGACTTGCTCTTTTAATTTTGTTGACAAACCTGCTTGTTCCCTCAAAGTGCCATTCATTAATGCCAGGTCTTTCAACTGTTTCTTTTTTAATTCATCTTCTCCCTCATCCTAAAAGGAAATCATAATTGATGATATGTGGAAGGTTGCCATTTATAAATGGCCTTCTAGTGGCAAGAAAACACAAAGCCAAGCCAACATACCACAGGTTGGAGAAGATCTTTGGCTTTTTCAACAGCTTTTGCAAGTCTCAACTTTGCTCTCTCCTCTGTATCTTCCACTGATATGAGCACGTGCAGATCCTCCTCTAAGTGTTCATAGTTCGGTTGGCCCCGTTTCTCTTCTTCCTGCATGTATAAAGAGGATTTATCACAGATGTCATCCTTGAATTCACTATTTTGACAGATATTTGAGACTCCTTAGTACATGTGACAAAACTAACCAATTTTTTATCTTTCATAGAACCTTTTCCTCTGACTAACAGTTTGCATCCAGTAGAAGATTCAACTTCTCTTAAAGTCATTCCCCGTGGGCCGATTACTCTACCAACAAAATTAAACTGCAAAAAGAGATCAAAACAAATTAAAACCTTAGAGGTGTGCAACTAAGTGCATATGACTGGATTCAAAATACATGTGCTTTAAGATTAGCACATCTAAGGTTAGATTCATTACTGACATAACATTAAATTTGAAAGACAAGGCAATTTTCTGAAATCTGCAACATAAATCTAAAATACTACATAATGAAATTTTATAGAATTGAATGTCATTTAATGGTTCATTCAGGTAGCAGCATACACTAGGTAATCTACAAGAACTACAAAACTAAATAGAAGCTTTTTCTAAAGGAAATGTCAAAATAGAAAGTGAAGCAAGAGCAGAGTGAACTTTACCTTTGGGTATTCTTTGACTGGGGCATAGACCTTTTCTGACAATTTTACTCTAGGCCCTGAAGAAGCTGGAAGTTGAAGTTCCCCAAACACTCCATCTGGTTCATTCTTGATCACTCCATGGAAGAGCTCATTTCTAACTCTGCTTATTTCTGTACAGGGAAGAAAGTGTTTTGTTTCAACCACACAACACAACTGTTTATTTAAAAGATATTTAACTTGTTTTAGTACTTATTGTAAGAAGAAAGCCAAGTTAGAGGAGAGCTGATGGGGAAATAAACAGCAAATAACATGCTAACAACACTCTGCTTTTCCCCATAAACACTGAATGTCTTTCTTCTCATTTGAGCCATCCACATCACAATGAAATGCTCATTGAAGTCACATTCTGACTGCATTTCCAAGTGATCAAAGTTATGGATAGTACACAGACATCAAAATGTCAATCAACCTGCCTAAAGCCTAGACTGACATTCACTATCACAAGATAAGACTTATAACAATGCTACTAAAAATAGAGTTCTAGCAAATAGAACAAAATAAGAGAAATGGTAAGTTTTGAGCTCTGTAAAGAAATAGAGAATGATGTTTCTTCATCTTCTCACCAGCACAGGACAAAGAAAAAAATTCCGAGTCCCCATAACGAAATGAACCTCTTTGGATTCTGTGCTCTTGTTGAGAACAAAACTCAGTGTTAAAATTGTTTCATTTATAATAGTTTAAGACCCATAATGCATTTACTCCTACATAGTACAAACAGGAGCTTTGAATTATTTAGCCTTTTCATGGAATAAAATAAGGAGAAATTTGTGTATATTGTTACACTTTCAATCTAGATGTGACTTTTCAGGAAGGTAGAGATCATATGATTCCCACACCTTACTTTCTTAAAACAAACTAACAATGATTGCCATCCAGTGATTTAATGCCTGTTCCTTAACGCACTATGAAAAAACATCAAATTCCCACATAGGGTGTCCATGACAACTCATTTAAAAGAACTACTGTGAATCCAACTTATCATTTCTGTAAAGAGAGAAGTGAATGAAAAGACAAAAATCAATTTAGGTTCCTAATCTTGAAAGCAAAAACAGCATTTTAGTTTAGTTTTGGATATCAAACCTTAGTACAAAAAATGAGCAGGTAATAAAGCCTTTAAAAATATACATGAATTCTTTCAACAACTTCATTCCAATCTGAAACAAATTCACCTACAGATAATAGTTACCTCAGACCAAAAGCAATTATGGTAGTTTACAAAACATCATTCTTGTTTATCTATTAATGATGCCAACTACAGAAAAATATTCATAGGAAAAGGCAAAGTTGATAATGAACAAATAAAAACAACTCCTTCAAGATTCTTACTATTTTTTGGTAAACAACTTCTACATTGCATCCAAAACTGCTGAAACAGAATCTCAAGGTTTCAATTAAAAAGGATATGTTTACAAAGCCTAAATTAAATTTAGGAAAGTGGTCAACAGGCATTGGGGGAACATTAAAAAGATTTCATGATTGTTGACAGAAAGTAAAAAAGACAGGAAAAGAGCTGAAAATTGATGCTTTTGATTTATTTGCTTTCCTACCAATAAATCCTGACAAACACGACAACGATTTTAGTTTCTGAAGGCTGTGAAATACAGCATGAGTCGTGACAAAAATATCCATGTCAGTGCCCTCTTTCAATTCAACGAAAATTGCACCCAGCTAAAAAAAACCACATTTGAAATAAAATGCTCAAAACCACAAATATCCTATTTTTCATCTGAAAAGCTCCTCTTAATTTTTGGTTGCACATGTCCGATTGCCAAGTTATAATTGTAATTATTTAGATTTGCTCTGTTTGGTCAGAATACGTGTCATGAAAAGCATCTGCCCCTAATCAAGATAAAGATCATTATTACACAAATTTCCACAAAGCAAGTTCCTGGGGTTGAATTCCTCGAGAGCCACAAAACGAAACAATTGAACTGGCTTCAGCAAACGCTAAGAAAAATTCTAGGCACACCCTGAATACAACCATTTATGTCCATTAAATCGTACTACATGGTCGAGCGCTCGCTGATAAATAAATCTCAGCTAAATCAGAACAAGCCATCAAATTTTCACAGTTATTTGACCCCGTCAAATTAGAAACGAGACGAATTCCAAGCGTGACGATTTTCCTTCAAAGATAACATGTAATTTCATGGACCGTCAAGCGTTTCAAATGTTGAAACTGCTTCACAAAAGACTTTTCCAAGTAAAAGCTAATGTTTAAGCTTGTTTACATACAAGAATAACAACAAAACACGGTTGCAGCGAACTAACAAAAGTAACCAGTTTAATAAAGCCTGCACGATCGGTCTCCTGACGGCCTCGTGAATACTCTAAATCGTATCTCCCTCTTAGTTGTGAGTTTATTTAGTTTCGGTTTATGCAAAATCGTGGGCCAGTACATAATAAAACAAGAGCAAGCGAGTTATCAAAAAAGTGTGGCTTTCATATTACCAAATAAAATATTCATACATCCCACTGGGTGGAAAGAAATCTAGTTGAATGTAATAGAATACGAGTTAATGAAACAGAAAATCACAACAAGTTTGTTCACAATACAAGCAACCGAGATTCCAGTGTGCAAGTTTTAAGGGGATAATAAGTACATCTTTAACATAAGAAATCCTTCCAAAACTCTGCAGACAGCCGAGATCGCGCGGACCAACAAAGACGCATACTATAGATTAGTTTTGAAGGCAACTGCAAAGAGCGCGTCGACCGACCCAATGTTCATTTTTCAATTTCAGCTTAACTAAATCTTTCCTAGGTACTAAGCAAAATGTCATATGTCCAACAAACCTGAAGTTGATCTCTTGTATTCCCTGGTGTGTCAGTGATGCTAACCTAAAACACGATCGTTGTTCGGTAAACACTGGAAATGGTGTCCGGATGTCGGGCAAACAAATGGAAGATTTATGCTCCACGCTCGCTGGCCGCGATCGATTGCATTTTTCGTCGCCGCGTTTTTCGCTTTAAATCGCGTTAGAACAAACTCTACTTCTGAAATGAATTAGATATTACCTCGCGAAGTTACATTTTTTTCTTCTGGGGATTATTTATGTTCATTTACCGATTATTTATAATAACTGCAGTTATTATTATATTAAATTTGAAGTTAACTTGGCGCAACACTGTACCTTGATCCAGCAATCTTTCGGCGTGAAGAAATATCTTGGGCATTTTCGATACCGTTGTTTTGTCGCTGAGAAGTTCATTAAGATATTCAGGAGAAGCGACAGAACAAGACATTGTTGCTGTTATGGGTTAGTAGAACGTAAAAGGAAAACACATAAAAAAGCAATAGCAGTTGTTCTACGCCTGAGCAAGTCTTGTGAACTTCGACATGTGCAACCAATGATTACTCGGCCAGGGAATTGGGCTCTGTTACTCGACCCAAGCTCTTCAGCCAGGGACCTTCAGCCAGCGTCTAAGCTATATATAGTTATTGTCTTACATGACGGGGTTAAATGTGTTCCAATATGGCAGCACCGGCAGCTCCACCAAACACAGAGAGTGATGAGGTTGACGAATTATTTTCACGGTTTATGTCCGAGGTACTGGTTAGTTTAATCCCTTGTACCAAATTTAATGTTTATTTCCACACCAAACTTTGTTTACTTGCCTAAACTGAGACCCCAGGTTTTTGATTACGAAATCTATTGTTGATGTGGTCGCATGGGTTAGCATCTGTATTTGCTCCAAAGGAGAATTTTCATTTTGCAGTGCTAAGATGATAATCAGATAAAGTGCCCCTTTTCTTTCGTGTCAGTAATTTCTTCCTCGGAAACATGAAGAAATTTCTCGGCAGACGAGCGGCCATTTTGGAAAATAGTATGTTAATTTCGCGGGGCTATTTTGATAACGATAACATATAATGTAATCAACTACCAATCAAAATCATACTAACGCTGCGCCCTGATGGTTTGATAAATTTACCTCGGGGTCTTTCACAAGTCTGTACAATATGTAAAAGGTCATTTAGGCAAACCCTTTTTCAGTTGAATGTTTAACCTCCAGGTCAAAGAGATTGAGAAGCGAGATTCTGTTTTAACTGGACCACAGCAGATAGAGAGGCTGACAAGGCCTGGATCTACTTACTTCAATCTGAATCCTTATGAGGTAAAATGTAATTGAAGGTAATCTTGGATTGCAACGAAGATTGGTCAATTATTCCTACCTAGAAATAAAAAGTTGAAGATTATCATTCAAAAATTGCCTCATTATTACTTTCAATACTTGCAACTTACTTTCAGGTGATTATTTTAAATTTAATTCAATATGTCTTTTTGGTAATATACTCTTGATAAAACTAACTAATTTGAATCAGGATTTTATAGCTTTATGTAAAAAAAATTTGATTTAGTTTTTAGTATTTGATGATTTAGTGTACATTCACTTAAGATCAAATGTAAATCCCTGCTACAGGTAAGGTACATGTAAACAAACTTATTTGTCCCCTTGAAATTTTGCAACAAATGTGCTGCTTCTTAAAACTTGAAAATCTTCGCTCACTTCTTCTGATTTTCCAGGTTCTCCAGCTACCTACTGATGCCAAAGAAGAAATAATAAGAAAACAATACAGAAAGGTCAGTTCTCAAAAAGCAGCTTAGTATTAAGTTCAACCAAAGTTTGCTATTATCCACAGAGTGCTCCCAAAAATGCTGAATCCTAAAAAGGACATGCTTTTAAGCTGCAGCTTCATTGCAGTTCTTTTTACACATAAGGGATTCACTTACCTCAACTAAAAGTGCATACTGATAACTGGAAAGAAAATGTTATAGAAGAGGTTTCTGAAAATTTTCGGCTTATTTGTATGACTGTATGATAGGATATTTGTCTCCTTTGATTTTTCTTTATGACATTGATTATTCTTTATGACATTGATTATTATAATGATACTGGCCATGAACAAGTTAAATTTATTTACCACAATCTAATCTTGTTTGAAATAAAGCTGTCATTCCTGGTCCATCCTGACAAGAACAGAGATGACTCAGACAGAGCCCAAAAAGCATTTGAAGGTATATTATACTGTTCAGTTGTAAGTTGGAAAATGACACTTTTATTGATTATCAAATTCACCATTTTGAATTTAACCAAAAGGCTTTGATTTAGTCTCAAAAGTTTTCCTTAAATGCATTTGTCTATTGCAAGCACTCAGAGGGGTGCACCTTTTGGTTTGCAATGAGCAGGCATAGACTAGCAAGTGACAGATTTATGGGCAAATATTAAGAATAGGGGTTGTGTCAGTGTCTAGAGAGTTAAACTGCTCCAAACCTCAGACTTCACAAGACTGATTGTCGTGAAGAATCTGTTGGAGAGTCTGTTGTCTTTGCAGTGAAATTGGCAAGTGTTCTTCTTTTGTGAGGATGATGTTAAACTCAAGGTGCTTTCTTCTAAATTTATTATGTCATGGATAGTAAGGGATGTTGGAAGAGCCCAAACTGCAGGGTTTCCATAAGTGGTTGGACACCAGGTGGAAATTGATTGTCTGTGACGTTGAATTTCCTGGCTTCCTTCAAAATTTCAATCAAAAGAAAGAGAGTCCCCTGAAATGACATGGCTACTGGTCAATATGTTGTTTAAACATGTAAACCCAAGTTGGTCTATTCTTTTTTTAATCAAATTTTTCTCCAAAATGTGTTATTAATGGAACTATGTCAGTCATTTTTATCAAGATTGGTATTGTCACAGTAAAGGTAGAAGTCAGCTGAAAGAACTTGAGAAAATCTCAAATGTTCTTGGTCTCACATCTTGAGAATGCTAGAAAGCTTGCACAAAGTTGAGGAGAAATTCAAAATGGTGGTTGCCATCTAACATGCTGAAGTAAAAAGCACCCTTCAGTGGTAGTCTATTTAAATCAATTAATCAGTCCAACTTTATTTATCGAGGGTAGCATGAAACTGTTACAATACTGATGAGCTTGTGGCACTCCTATATCAAATAATTATATCCCATGGATATACTAAAAATACCCTATATATGTATAAATATATATGGTAAAATAAATTGGCAATGCTAATTTACTTTAAATTGATGAATGTCCTTATTCAAATGGCAAAAGTAGTCATTTAGGTATTTACATAGATCTGAATTTGAATTTGACATCTTAATTTTGTCTTTAACACTGGTTGGAAATGAATTCCAAAGTTTTGCATTACTTACTGAGAATTTCCAACCACCCTCAGTTTCCCTATTAAATCTCTTACAGACAAGGTTCCATTCTCTGTATCAACTTTTCCTATGATGTTTATCTGAATTCCTGATAATTAAACTGTTCATATATTGAGGGCAATCACCTACTAGGCTCTTATGAATGAGTAAACAATTATTTATTTTTGCATCATCTTAAAATGGAAGCCATCCAAATCTAGGAAAGAGCTTAATACTGTTGTCTCTGGTGTCTGCTTTTAATATAACACGAGCTGCACATTTTTGTAGCTTTAGGACTTTGGTGAGGTTATCCATAGAACAAGAAGTCCATACAGTAGAGCCATACATCATTACTTGATTGATTAATGAGTTGTAGTATAAGATCCTCTGCTCGATTGGCAAAAATTGTCTAATTTTCTTTAATATGGCAATTCATTGTGACAGTCTTTTGCAAAGTTCATTGACATGGTCATCAAAGCTAAGTTTGTCATCAATAAGACACCTAGAAGCTTTCGACACTCAACTTGTCTCAGCTGTTTCCCATTCACTTGAATTGAGAGTTTATTGTTTTCCATACATTTGCATAGCCTCTTTCCAGTTACAAACATGCATTTTGTTTTTGATTAATTCAGGATCATTTTGTTGTCATTAGAACTTTTTACAATTCCCTCAATGTCACTTTACAAGTTTGTAGATAGCATGTCTGGTGTGTTGTTGACATCACATTAATGGCTCAAAGTTGGGTAAAAGTGAAGAACAGTTCCCAAAGATACTGTCGGCCGTCTGTTGGCCAACTGTCGGCTAAAGTTGGGCAACAGTCGACCAACTGTTGATTGACCGTCGGCCGACAGTTGGCCGACGGATGGCCAACAGTCAGCCAACAGTTTTTGTAATGTTATAGACTAAAGTGTCGGCCAACAGTTGGCTAACAGTCAGCCGCTTGTTGGTAACTTGTTGGTGACCTGTTGGTAATGTGTCAGTAAGTCATGTGCTGAAATGATTGCAAACAGTTACTTATTTATCACTTCAATAACTACGTCAAGACAGGAAAAATTAATTGCAGAGAGATAGTTAGTATGCCTATTGGCTAACTTGCCTGCGTTGGCAGCAAAACATGCCCATATTGGTTCGATTTCATGAATCATTTTGAGTTACCTGCTCTTATCCAGAGTTTTCAAAGTGTTTTCACATTTTTGAGGTCATAATACGCCACAAAAGGCAACGATCGCGACCTGTCACAAGAAAAGAAAGATTAGTCAGACATACATGAATTATTGTAAACTATGGTTTTGCAATGCATTATAGGGCAATTGAAAAACTTCCTTTTTGCTACCAAGTAAACAAGCCTATTTTAGTGTAAAAATACAAGTTAGGAAGTAGGTAAATACAAAAATTGATACATACGGTCTGGTTAACACCGTCGGCTGGCTGTTGGTAATGTGTCGGCTGACAGCTGGCCGACAGGTTACCGACAGCCAAACATGGGAGCTATTGTTCACTTTTACTCAAAGTTGTATCATCCACATACATGTCAATGGTAGAATGCTGTACTGTGGCTGGTAAATTGTTCACAAAGACCAGAAACAACATTCTTGTGGTCAAGATCGAAGAGTAGCTGATCTATCAAATGTATTAGAGCTGTCTCAGTCAAGTGGGATTTTCTGAAACCGGATTGAAGTTTGTGCAGTTTATTGTAGCTCTTGAGGTGACTATATAAAGATTTGCAAACATGTTTTTCAAATACCTTAGATAGGATAGGTAGCACAGAAATGGGTCTGTTATTGTTTATGTTGTCCTTACTCCCTTGCTTTTTGAAGATCGGTGTTACTTTGGCAACCTTCCACTTGGAGGGAAAGTTTGCTTTGTTAAGGCAATGGTTAATCAGCCTGCATAGTGGGCTTGATGTGGCACTGGCTGTGATCTTTAACAGCTTTGCACTGATCCCATCGTCTCCTGTGGCTTTGTGTGGTGGAACTGACAGGAAAATCTCTACAACCCTTTTTGGTGCAATGTGTGGAATCTTTAAAGCATTTCCACTCTGAGTTCCTTTACAATAATTTGAAGCAGCTATGTCTTCACCGATGTCTTGAGCATTGAACAAATCTATTGGTTGTTTAACAAAGAATTAGTTCAATTCATTGGCAATGCTTTCTTTGCCTTTCAAGTAGCCTCGCTCACACTTTATACATTCAATGCTATCTTTACTTGAGTACAATTCATGTGTTAAGCCTTTGATTAAATCCCAGAGTTTCTTAGAATTGTGCTTGTTTTCAGACATTTTCTTGTTAAAATAGGACTTATTACTTTCCCTTATTAGCTTTGATACATTGTTCCTTGAATGTTTATAATTCGACCAATCACTGTCTGACTGGCTATGCTTTGCTTTCATCAGTAGTTTATCCCTTTTTTTCATTTCTCGTTATATTTCACTTGTGAACCATTAAGGACGAACCTTTCTTTTCACCTTTTTACATTGTATAGGCAAGTGTTCATCTACCACATTCTCAAGTATTTTGTACCAAGCATTGATGAAAGCTGTGTCCCAGGGGGCTTCTTTTAATGCAGCATTAAGCTAAGCTTTCCTTTTTCAAGTTTTTTACAATTTCTATAGGTCATCACAATATGCTCGTTTTCTTTGTTATTGTTTCTGTTATTGTCAAGTTTGTATGTTCTGGTCTCAAAAATAGGCAAATGATCTGACATTCCCACTGTCATTGTGTATACATTGTTCATATGTTCTGGGTGACTGGCCCAAATGTGATCCAAGTAAGTGCCTGACACTGGCCTGGTAATTGTGTTTACAAGCTGGACCATACGCAAATCACTCAATATTTACATAAGTTTAAATTTTTTTTAATTTGGCCGAGTTTGAAAAATCTACTTTGAGGTCACCCATTAAAACCATTTCTCTGTTTCTTAGTTGTATGTTTTTGATGTTCTTGCCTTATTTCTTATCATCCTTGACTTTATTAGAAGATGGCCTGTAAATACCTCCAATAAATGAGGAAGGCTTTGATTTATGGGAGCATACCCTCAGCCATAATTATTCAATATCAGAAACTTGAAAGTTAGACCTTTTTTTGACAAAGGTCGAGTTGGTTATGAAAGCCAGAATTCCATGGCCTTTTTTGCCAACCCTGTCCTTTTAAAATAGTGCATAACCAGGAATATTGTAAAATGAGTCTGTTATTTTACTGGAACAAAACATTTCAGCACGAAATAGAATATCAAGATCTTTGAGTTCCTTAAGAAACATGATTTTTATCTCTTCAAACTTACTGTCAGTTAGATGCTGAATGTCCCGTGACATAGGTTTAATCCATGACTTGTAGGAACGGGACCGGATTTCTTTGAACATCACCAGACAATAAAAGACCAAGTAGTGATATATGCAAAGGCTTGTCGGGGAAGAAGCAAAGCCATATTTGTAATGCAAAGGGTAGCTTGTAGGAGTACTGCATCTTTCGTTGACACCCAAGAAGGGCACAAATACGGAGAAATATCTGCCAAGGGTTTACTTAAACCACCATGTGCTGGTTTAAAGTTGTTGTGAACATGACTTCCATTTTGAAAGAAGAAATGTTGTTGCAAAAGCAGGACTATGATACGCAGTGCAATAGCCCTGACCATCAGCATTAGCACCATATTGCCATGTATAAATAGTGGAAAATAATATCTGGTTAATGTTGACAGAATATTAAATCAATCAGCTCAAAAAGCTGTTAAATATAAAAGGTGAAAAACAGGGTTTTTATGATTCAAATTTGTGTATCAAAGATGGAAATTGAACAATGGAACTTAAGTGAATCACAAAATGTTTGTGATCTCACCCTGTGAGATTGCTCTGAAAACTTTACAAAAATGTTAGGGACTTAAGGGTACTTTCTCATTTACCATGTGATAACTTAACAGTTGTGGATCTTTTGAAAGCCAGTAACCCTAACCCTAACAATAACATATTTGTTACTGCCCCATATTTCCTCATGTGTCTCCTAAAATGAAAAAGTGTATTAACTAATAAGATATACAGATTTGACAAGTAAATGATTGATTATTTGCACTTGTCAACCCTTTGATGGGTTAATTAAGTCATCACTCTGTTATCTTAAGTATTGATACATGTTTGGGAACTGAAGCATGTTTCTGCTCCAAAATGCACAAAAATGCATCTGTAACTGACAAATTTTAAACTTTTTTCGGGAAGCACACATGCTGAGTACCTACAGTTGCTAGGGCAAGAACCATCAAGCCTTGTATAAGGTATGCCTGCATGCCAAATCCAGATACCTTGCTGCTCCATACATCAATGAAACTCCCACATACTTTTATCATTAACCGTTGGGGATGGCTTATGATGTCCAACCCAATCAGTTTGTTAGCTTAAAAACTGACATTTTATTGGCTGATAGAGCTCCAATGTAAACAAGCCTTTGGACTATTTAAGTTTGACTTGAAGTATATCAGACCACCTGATGTACTGTCAATGTTTGTACTTATTTATTCATCTGTTTTTCTACCCACATCTAATCACTCCAGCTGTCAGTAATGCTCATCAGTTACTTTTGGATAATGACAGAATGAAAAAGGTTCATGAAATTCTTGAAGAAGCACAAGCAATGGTCAAGGCTAATGTAAGTGACCTCTATCTAGGAAATGGGAATGTTAGATATTCTTCATGTATCATTGTCTGGAAAGGCTGGAAATGATCACTTACAACAAAAACCCTAAAACTAATCTATGGGAAAATAAATTTTCAGTGTTGATACTAAATTAATCATGAACATGACACAAAGACATGCAATATACATATATGTGCATCTCTGGGAGAATTCTTAGTGATTCAAATGTATGTGAGGACTGCTTTATGAGTGCAAAGTCCTGAATATTTCAATTGCCTGATAATATACAAACTTGCTAAGTGTTATTATCTTACTATGAAGTTTATAGTAAACATGATTATTGTGCAAAATAAATTTTTTAATTACAAATCATCATTGATTGTTGCTGTGAAATATTTGGCTTAGACAGGCATACTTCAAGTTTTCTTTGGTTATAATTTATAGCTAGGGGCTATATCATCACTGATATGTGTTCTTAATTTTTTCTTTGTTCAATAAATCATATTACTCCAACTTTATTTTTTTTCATGAATCAATGTAGGGTGTAATGATGTAAGGGCATACTTCAATAGTATATATTTTTGTGAACTGTGCAGCTAAACCAGGGTGTCCTATTTTAGCTTAAGGAAAAGAAAAAGCAAGCAAGGAAAGAGGGCAGAGAGAAGATTGAAGAAGAGGAAGATCCAGATAAGGTAAAGAAACGATAATGTTCAGTTTATCAGGAATTTTACACATATGATCCTTTTGCATGGAGCAAGTTTGTGTTTTAATGCTCACCACGTGCATTGTAGAAGAAATATAAGTACTAGTCTATCTGAATCATTATTGTTGGAAGATTCTATAATGGTTAAATAGTTTGTTTCAAGTTAAAACTGAAATATATATCGTGCTTGTTATCTTAGGTGTGATATTTCAATCAAGGAAGTGTTAATAGATGACATTCAGAAGTAATTTGTTCGCCCAGTGTTGACCTTGTGCTTTTATGCACACCAAACTGTCTATGAATAAACCCAAATGAATAAAAAATACATTGTAAACTGAACTGAGAGTTAAGAAAATCTAAACTGTCCAAACTTTAACAGTTACAGCAAACAACTATTTTATTGACTTGACACTGAGAGCAAGAAATTGCACAAATGAAAACAATACAAATTCATACAGAACACGATTGTACAAACTAGTTTGTAGTCAGGAGGACAGTGTTGATAGCGACACTAATAAATCAAGAGATGATGTTTGTGGGCATAAATATGTTTTGGATGTGACTCAGTGTCATTTTAGATCTGACAAGGGCTTAAACATTTGTATGCCCACAAACATTAACTTAAGTCAAATATTATCACTTGGAAGGGATTGAGGAAATAATAGCTGGAAAAATACACAGTCTGAACAATCACAGGGGTATGTAAGCAGGCCAAAATACATTGTAGCTTGCAAAATACACTGCTATGCCTCACAAAGTGACAATAGTGTAGATTTGTGTCACTTTACATGGAGATTTGATGGTGATGATGATGATATCATGACAAGTAAATCCTGTATCTTTTATTGCAGTATAAAGATGATTGAATTAAAACCACAATGATTTCAATATACTTTTGTTTGTATTCTATCCATAGTTATCAAAACTAGTCCACTCCACAACTGTCAAACTGTTTGCTGATTATGAAATTAAGAGGAGGGCACAAGAGGAAAAAGATACTGAGCTGAGGTAAAACTACTGCAGGAGAAAATAGTAGAAAGCAAAGTGATTTGTCACTCTTTGAGATTTAGCATTCCAGTCAATTGGCTGTATTCCTGTTCATGTAGTCCAATGCTTTTGCAAGCATATAACTATATGCAGCCATAGCATCAATCCACTCTAATTGCATTTTTTAGCAAAACATTTTGTTCATAAACACGAGTTTGACCTTCATACAGGAAGCGACAACGTGAACAAGAGATAGCTGAAGAAGAAGCAACAAAGAAGAAGAAAGAGTGGGAAAAACAATGGGAGGTAAGTTCCCTTGAAAATAAGGCATATTCCAAAGTTCAAGTACAGCATAAGCTTTTCCTTTGAAATTAATATCCTTTTGGTGAAAATAAACTTAAGTGACAAGCCCTTTAGTTTGAAGCTGTTTGATGAGAGTTTTCCAAGTTATTTAAGAAACCTATATTCCCTTATCATGCTGTTTCAGCTTTGTAATAATTTTAGATTCGTTTGATTACAATTATTTACTCTAACTTTCATTTCCCTTTGAAAGGAAAGTCGCACAAACCGCGTAGATAGTTGGAGAACGTTTCAAGCTGGAGGGAAAAAGAAGAAAGAAAAGAGGGGTCGCACTGCTTTCAAACCACCTGCCCTTAGACCTGAGAAACGCTGAGCATCAGAGAGTGTTCTAAGTCCTAAATCGCTAAAATTGCTGTATACATGTATCTCAGCACTCCCTGATTATTCTTTCAACTGTAAATATTTTTATACTCATTATCTGAAGCGTAATAAATTCTGACATGGTTATGTTGCATAGCTACTTGATACAAGAGATCTATGTTCGTTTTATTTGGTTATTACTATTTTGTTGCCATTCTTATTCTGCCTAGGACTCCTCTCTTCCAAACGCAATCGCTGCGTGAAACCAGTTTCCAACCAATTAAGTTAAACCGTTTGGGTACAAACCCTGCTAATTTAGCTGAGCAGACAGATATTGTTCATGAGTCTCTTTGAACTTTTTACAAGAAAAGCTTGTTAAAACATGAGAATATCTTAACTCTCTCACCCCCATGGGAGACAAAAAGTGATATCTAAGTTTAACACAGACGTGTAGAGAGAAAATAGTAACCAAAGAGATGATCGTTTGACACCCAACAAAAAGAGCCACTGAATGCTTATTTAGATTTTGGGGGTGAAGGGTTAAAGCATTCCACAATTCCAGCCTTCTTCTGTTTAATTTAATTTCAAAAACAAGATACTCCAACGCTAACCTCAGGACCTACTCATCTGATCTACTAGTATGAACTTCTTCCTTTGAAGAAAGAAATCTGTAGAATTCACTTCTGGTTAACTGGGGTCTGTGGAGAGGATATTTATATTGACCTCATCACCGTTCGTACGTCGTAATCAGTTTTTCTCTTGATTCTACAGAGCCCCTGAAGTTTGTTTCGTTTGATATTTGCCAACATACTGAAACATGAATCGATATTAGCTTTGTTTCGGTTACGAAGGCCTCGGTGGGACTGCACCTTCCCTCCGCCTACATCAAGGCTTGGTGTCTCAGCTATCAGATTGCTTTAACATGAGCACGGAAACATTTACCCGTGTAGAGTTTTTATTTTTAATGTGTCTTCTAATGTCGAGGCTAAAGAATATCAAAGTCTTAGCTTTCATACAACTTTAAAGTTCTAAATACCAAGCTTAGTATAAGTGAAGAGCCTGGATTTTGTGAGCAAGAATTTGTAAATTATAAGTCGCTTGTCAATCAAGTACGCACTTCTGACACGAACACGAAAGTGGAGATGTTTTGAGCACGGCAAACTGCTGTACTGCAGAAAACAGTTTGATTTTACGTGGGAAGAACGATCAAAAAGAGTTATGGAAACAAATAATATCGCAACGTTTATTAGGGATCGTGAAGTCAAGGTAAGGTTCTTTTTTTTTCTGAATTTGAATAATACACAGCGTTGGAGCGCAGTTTAACCCTACATTTTTTCTTCATTTTTGAATTGTCTTCTCTATAGTCGTCCATCACGCGAGCTTTCCAGAGAAGATTTCAACTCCATCAACCTTTTGTTGAAAGGCTTGGACTCGAAACAGAGCTCGAGGTAATGTAAGGTTTTGCTGAATTAAAAATCAGCGTCATAATATTATCAGACAAACTCTTTCTTGCTAGCTACAATTCAAATCCAAGTCTTTTCAATGTTTATTTTTAGTCTGCCGGGTTTTCTATCGGATTCAATATATATATTTTTTGTCCTATCCACAACTGAGGCTAAGCAACTGTGTTTTCTAGATTGCATGGTTCGCGGAAGTGTGAAACTTGCCCAGCGTTTTGCCTAATTTAATGCAGAAATCGTAAATCAGTTTTGCCATTCGTTAAGAAAGCGCTTTGAAATAAACAGGAATGTTGACCAACTTAATTAATGCTAGCGAAACTTTGACGTCTTCTTACATAGGACAAGTTGATCTTGAAATTTAGCTGGGGCCACTTAATTCAAATTTCTGAGGTTTTTTTATGGAATTATTTTGTGACTCACAATTGTGGTGAGGATATTGCTTTTTCTTATGTTGTCCGATAAGAGATCCGATATAAGCTTGTCAGTAACGATAATAGACGCTTTAGTCCACGGGAGCTTTCGTGTCATCAAGTTATGTTTTAGAGGAAATGGGATTAATACTCTTTTCTGGATTAATAGACGATCAGAATATTCGGAAACATGTTAAAAAGGTACTGCAGGTTTTAAACTATAGAAGGGTTTCCATTTTGCCAAGGCTCGGTAGCCTGTTTTTGTTACTAATTAAACTATCGTGTTTTTCAACTAGGGTCATTCTGGATGTGTTAATTGTTTGGAGTGGAATGAAAATGGAAAGTAAGTGATAGTTTGTAACCGGGTTTCCTTTACTGCCAACAGCCAATGACACCAAATATTTTAGGTAATAATTATATAATAATTACACAATATTGATAATAATTATTTTAATGTATGGTTAGTTATTAACTTTTAACTGTTGTTTGTACTCTAATGTGTTCACCTTGTGACATGTAAAGCTAAAAATTTATAGCAATGTGTGCTCCTCTTGCAGTCTTCTTTTGTCTGGTTCAGATGATCTAAATGCTATATTATGGGACCCTCTGAGACGTCACAAAAAGTGCTGCATTAAAACAGGCCACTCAGGAAACATCTTCTCTGTCAAGGTATTACATTCAAGAAGATGCTTACCATATAGTAGATAAAAATTTGACTTCCCATGTCATCACTGTACCACTGGTAATATTTAGGGAGTCCTAGAACCTTTGAAGTTAGAGCAATGAGTGATATTAAGGCATGGGAGGGAGGGGGAGGGGGTATGACTGAGGAATAGGCTAAGCGGAAAACTGCAGGCTTGGTTGGATGAGGCTACTATAGGGGGCTTGTATTAGTATTGAGGTTGTGGCTGCTCTGGTCTGAGAATGTGATGAGACTGGATTTTGCCACATTATGGTATTCCTCTATGTAACCATTAAAAAAAATTATCCACATTGTGCTTTCTAGTTCTTGCCACAGATTGGAGCTCGAATAATTGCAACAGCTGCTGCCGATGCTAAAGTTCAGATTCATACAGTGGAAACACAAGAAACATCACAGGTATATAAATGTCATATTGGACGTGTGAAGAGACTAGCTACAGCTCCAGATACTCCGTATATGTTGTGGAGTGCATCTGAAGATGGAACCATAAGGTAATTGATCTATTAGCCTAAATATCGATGAAGTAGTAAACTGGTGAAACATAAAGGTGATGTGATATGTATAAAAAAAAAAGATCTTATTTTCCTGAAAGAAATAGAGAAATAGAAATTTTGTTAAAGAAATAGAGAAAGATGTTTTTTCATCTTGTGACAAGCTTGAGACAAAGAAAAATTCTGAGTCCTCATCAGGAATGGAACCTCAGACCTTCACATTCCATGCTTTGATGCTCTACCAGTGAGCCACAAAGATGCTACGGTGAACAAGATCTATTATGAAGTTCATATTACACAAATCCTGCATACTGCTAGGATCAGCAATGTCAATAGCATTATGTTTATAAATAGAATAATCTATTTCTTTACTGAGTTCAAAACTTACCATCTCTCGTATTCTATTTACAAACATGACATTATTGACATTGCTGATCCTAACAGTATGCAGGACACATGTCATATGAACTTCATAGTAGAGTCTGAGGCTCAGTGGTAGAGCATCGCAGTGTGGAATCCAAAGGTCTGAGGTTCAATTCCTCTTGGGGACTCAGAATTTTTTGTTTGTCCCATGCTTGTGACGAGGAAAAAACATCTTTCTTTGATATATAACTTATGAATGAATGATTTATTTGTGGTATTGTAATATGCTAATAAGGCTGTGTGGTACAGAGCATACTGCTGAATGCCTTGTTGGCAAAGCCAGGTTTGAGTTCAATTCCAGGGAGTTTAATCTCATTTAATCTTGTTGAATGAAAGAGTTTCTTTGAGCCCATGATAAGTAAAGATACTGGCTTTAAATTGAATTTTTGTTCTGCACTTGTGTCTTGGTGTTTGTATTTAGTTTATGGAGAGTCTGCAAAGTGAATGGCACTAAACTGTTCAAATATTATAGGCTTCTCTTTTCCTGGTTTGCATTTAGTCAATCCTGGTTTGAAAATAATTGCTGCATAATTTGTTGTTTTCAACAGGCAATTTGATTTGCGGCAACCTCACAACTGTAATACAAGCAGTAAGAACTGCAAGAATGTACTCATAAATCTCAACATTTATGTTGGTGCCATGGCAGAGGCAAAGTGTCTAGCAATAAATCCTTTACAACCTGAACTTCTTGCTGTTGGCTGCAATGATCCTTTTGTGCGATTATATGACCACAGAATGTTAGCATCTTCTAGTTTGTCTGCTGAGGTCAAGAGACCCTCTAGTGGTAACAGCAGCTGTACTGAGGATTTAAAGCTTCCCCCTGGTTGTGTTCAGTACTTTGCTCCTGGCCATTTGCCACCACAGCTGAGCAAAGATTCACGGAGACGATTTCGAGCCTATGTTGCCACCTATGTGAATTTTTCACCAAATGGATGTGAACTTATTGCAAATTTAGGTGGTGAACAAATATATTTGTTTGATATTAAACGCCATCGCAAAGCCATGAGGTATCAAGGTTTTAATGGACTTTGTTCATCACCTACATCGAATGGTGTGGTGAAAAATGTAGTAGGTAATTTTGGTATTCCTTCAGGGAAAAATGGATTTTTAAATTCTCTTAATGGATCTACAAATGGTTACAAGGTCTCAGCCTTAAATGGAAAGAAAACTGTCTCAGAGAAAAGATCTTCAAAGCCTATAAGTGGCTGCAGTTCTTCAACTAACACCTCCCAGCAATTGCCCCTGAAAGCACTTCAACTTAAGGAGAAAGGGAATGATGCCTTCTGCCAACAACAGTTTTGGACAGCAGTTAACTTGTATAATGAAGCAATAGTCCATGCATCTGATTCTGCTGTCCTATATGCAAACAGGGCTGCTGCTTATATTAAGAGGGCTTGGTATGTAATGACCTGACTTAGCTGTGTTTTGCAAGATATGTGGGAAAGTGATTATTGTATTACAAACTGACTCCTCATTTATTGTCACAAAGATATTACAAAAAAGTTTAGGGATCAGAATGCCTCATGGGAGTGGGAAACACAGTGACCCAAATGGTCCGCCTGAGGTTTGGGTTCAAGACCTAGCAGGGTAGTTGGATTGTGTTCTCACACAACACTCTTAACTCTCACTTAACCCTCATGGTGCCTCTACCAACCAAAAGTAGAAATGGATCCTGATAATGGGAAAGGGATTGCAATGCTAGGGGGAAGTCTGGGAAGGACCAGCTTCACATCAGATTGTGGGGGAGGGACAATACTCTTGGTGGCTTCATACTACAGCATGGGCCACTGTCCTCAAATAAAGACTATTTCTTGATTCATAACTAGGGGAAACTATTGCCATTAACTTCCACTTTGGCTGTGATAACAAAATGCTTATTTCAAACAAATTGTTTTTTCGTTCTTTACAGGGATGGGGACATCTATGCTGCTTTGCGTGACTGCTACAGAGCTCTGGGATTAGACCCAAATCATACTAAGGCCCATTTTCGTCAAGCTCGATGTTTGTATGAACTACACTGGTTCCAGGAGGCCCTCTCCTGCCTCAATCATTTCAAGTTAAAATTTCCAGAGCAAGCAGAAGGAAGTGCAGCAAAAACATTAGAGAGAGATATCAGAGCTGCTGCATTTGCTGAGACTTGTGGTGGGTGTACTTGGACAGTAATAAGTTCAATGTTATTTCTGGGTCTGGATGTTTGAAAACCTTGATGTATGCTAATTCACCATGAAATATGTAAACCAGCAATTGCATCACTTTCACTGACAATTTTAGTTTCCTAGTGGCAAATTTTCATGTGCAAACTATCTAGGATTGGGTCAAATAGGCTGGTATCTAATGGAAGTCTCAAATTTCCTGATAAAATCAATTTGTGCCTACCTGCTTCCACCTCTGGGGTAGTCAGAGGAAAAGAGCAGAGTCTCTTTCAACAGAAACTCTGATGAAAACTGAACAAAAAATTACAGCCAGAAATCATTCATAACAGGTTTGAGAACGTTGTTACGATTGTTTCATTCAGCATTTTTGTGATTAGCTTGAGTCAGTGTTATTCTTAGTGACTTGAGATACTCTTATATGTCTAGAAAACAGTGAAGGAGAGTCAAATGCTCAGTCTGAACCACTTCCAAATCGGCGCAGGAGACGGCCTAGCATTGTGTCTGATCAAGAGAAAGAATTTCGAGCTGGAGCACTTGATTACGATCGGCGGTTCTGTGGACATTGTAACACAACTACAGATATAAAAGAGTCCAACTTTTTTGGCAACAACGGACAGTTTATTGTGGCAGGCAGTGATGATGGTTCATTTTTCATGTGGGACAAAGAGACAACGAATTTAGTGAGAGTTCTAAAGGGAGATGATTCTATTGTGAATTGCTTGCAACCACATCCAAGCATGTGTCTTCTGGCTACAAGTGGAATTGATCCTGTAATCAGATTGTGGAGTCCGTGTCCAAGGAGTGGAGATATACAAGATAGACTTATAGATGAAGTTGAAGCTGCTGCAAGGGCAAATCAGCGTAGAATGAATGCTGATCCTTTGGAAGTGATGCTTATGAACATGGGATACAGATCAAGATTCACCATGGGAGAGGGTAGTGATGAAGATGACACTGAAACCCCAATACAGTGTCGTACTAGTTAGACAACAAATTTATTTTACCATTCAATAAAACTAGAACTCACCCAAATAGGTCATGTGTGGATGTAAGATACTTGCAAAATAAGCTGTCCAGTTTTGGACATATAGTGTAAAAACAAATGGAATTACAAGTTTTTACTGATCAAAAATAACCCATCCTCTCTCCTCAATTTCTTCCCTTTCCTTCAGCCATCAATTCATGGATGTAGTCTCCCTCAAGCTTGTTTTTGATTGAATGGGTATCAGTGACAGTGACTCCCTGGTGATGGCTGCAAAGGAATGCTGAGCTTTGGACAAGGTGGATGGGTATTTTTTAAAATCAGTCATGAATGTCATCTTGTTTAAAGTGGTCAGAAATGTTTTGGATTACATGCGATACATGTTTTTCCAGGCCAACTAGGGTAACAAATTTAAAGCCTTTTTTCCAAGAAATGAAAGTTGCTGCCATTGACCCCTCTAGTCCTTTGTTAAAAGCTTAATAATTTAACTAAGGATAGTTGTCCAATACCAGGTGATAACACATTTGACCTTGCCAGGACAAGTAGCTGACCAGCTGTTTGTTGACCATACTCAGGTCTTCCAAACCCTCCAGAATGTTGTTTGGGAGAGTTTTGATGTCATGGCTTTTGTGTTGCATTTTTATTTAAATGAACCCAAGACACAAATGTCACTGAGGGATAGTATCTTGGTTTTCTTAGATTGCTCTGGTGAGTTTTTGATATGCTAATTGGACATTTTATATGACATCAACAATGAGGTTACCTTTGATTACAAAATTTATCACTTAATTTGTTTTTTATACTTGGTAGATTTCTTTGTAGAAAAAGCTAACAATGAATGGTACTGAAGTAATTATCAACTATGGAAGCTGATTTAAACTTCTTCGATGTATGGCTGCACATCATAGATAGTCAGAAATGGGGATATGGTTTACAACGAATTTAATTCTCAAACCTAACTTGTAGTTAAGATATTTTTGCAAACATTGGCAACCATATTATTGATGGCTCCAAGTGAAATTTAAAGGTCTCTCCTGTACATTTCTGGGCATTTGTCCCCTATGTACATTTCCAAGTACATTTTTTTTTGTAATTTCAAGTTTTAGGAGTGAAAAAAATAAACTGTGATAACATGCTTCTAAGCTGTCTTCACCACTGTAATGAGCACACTCTAAACACAATAAATTGCTGAGAAAATGGTCAAGGCAGTGAATGACCTATATTAGATGTACTTGCCTATTTACTGCCTTTTACCACTGACTTTTTGTGTGCTCCTTTGGTTGTATACTTCATTGCCTCTTGTTATGTTTACAGTCCAGATTCACAATATTCACCCATGTTCTTGTTTTTTAGTCCCATTATTTTGGTGGGATGCTGAAAGCTGCCTTGTAGGACTTGTCAGTCCATTAGAAACCTTTACCCCGAATGGCCTTTAATGTCAAAACAGTATACACTCATTTCTGAATTTTCTATCTTAAATAAGGAGACCAATTTAAGTAAAGGTAGCCCTATTGGCCTATCATTTTCTTTGATGATGAAGATGAACCCTTAAGCTACAAAGGACAAATTGTGATGAATCATAGATAGGCCTGCACCATCCATCCTTTTATTCTAATATTCTAATCAGAAATCTCTCCCTCACAGTCATTATACTTTGTTCAGAAGTGCTCCTAATGGAAGTAGTGGTTTGTGATGAGAACATACCTACATCAAGACCAAAATTATTATCTAGATATGATCTTTTTCACCTAGGTTGCCTTCTTCAGCTTTGAGTTATTAACTGAAATGTATGGGAAACCTCTGCTACTACCATCAACCATCTATTTCATCAGTAGCATATAAGCTAGGTTGTATACTTCTGGTAATATAAATTGACCATTTCCTAAGTTAAAATAGTTAAATCTTAAATTAAATATAAATACAACTTTTTGGAATAACTAAATAAAAGATGTTTGATCACTTCCACAGGACTAACTTGTAAATGAAGATATGTGCTGTCTGTAAGAAAGTGGACTTCATTTTGAAGTAAAAATTTAAATTCAAGTCCAAAAAGTGCAATAAAGAGATCCATTAGGTAACTTTTGAGGCTACAAAATATATTTAATTAAGCTTTCATAGTGTATGAAAGCAAGTTAAATTCCTAATAGCTAATGATTTTTTTGAGGGCCTCAAAACATCTCCACTTGTCTGGAAGGTAAAATGGCTCAAATATGTGAGGGAAGGGTGTGTCCCAGCCACACACTCGCTGGATGGGGGCCTCAAGTGACAAGAAACAATGTTCCTACAACAAGGAAGAATGAAACCTTGTAAAAATTACATTCGTTTGTATATCTAAAATCCCTATAGCACAGTGGAAACTAGTACAGGTCTTGTGAATAGGCCAGGACCTTGTAGCATTGAAAATTAAAATCTCTTGGCAACACCCTCAAATTTAAGCTTAATATGCCAGTACATTTATAACTTTAAGCTTGGTAATACCCATTCCTTATGCCCGAAATGCAATCACCATATCAAGAATCATCTTTTCACAAATTCTCAAATTATCAGTGCCAACTGTTTTCATGATTTAAGGTGGTTCTGATCTATATAACACATTTCCTGTAGATCATTTTCAGTAATAAAAAATGGGGGTCAACAAACCTACTTTCAACTTACAGGCATGTTATACTTCCTGTAATACTTCAATTAATTACAGGGTGTTTCAAAAAGATGTAGTGCTGATATTGCACAATTTATGTTAGAAAGGTGATCATCTCAAATTTAGAAATTGGGATTTTTGATATCATTTTCATCCCAACACACAAAGAAGGGTGAAGTATTCGACCATTAAGTAAATGTTGTTTAAAAATGATGAAATCATTTTGAGGCACTTAAAGTGTTTTTGAAGTAACTGACTGCAAAGTAACTGTTACTGTTTATTAACCCTTTAACTTCCAAGATCTCATTAGTAATTCTCCTTACTGTCTGCCATACAGTTCTTGTGATGTTAGTTTGGAGAATTTGGTATTGGATTGCCTTATAATCTCCTAATTGACATTTTTCTTTATTCTCATCACTTGTCTGCTTGATATTGTGTTGATATTGTAAGGAGAAACTCTGTCTTGATCACTATGGGAGTTAAAGGGTTGAGTGATGACATAGGCTGAGAAAGTTTATTGCACTATCCATCCCTTGATTGTCTAAAAAAAATATACTCAATTTAATTCACAAGTATCTCTAACCTGTACAGTGCTACTTATTTCTGCTCCAAATCCTCCTGTAAGAGTAGCTTCATGTGCTATTAACAATCTCCCAGTCTTCATCACAGACTAATAAGACAGATAAACCTTTAATTATAAATATCATTTGTAAATTTGTTCCTTTATACAACAGTTGATTTCCCTACAAAGCTATACCTTTGATTTATTTTCTTTTGAGGAATGGATACTTATGTATGGTCTAAATTTTCAGCACGTATACATGTAAACTCTGTTGGGAGTTTCATGTCAATATATTTAAATTGCTTTTATCAGTTTTTATCTTTGATGTATACAGATTATTTTCATGTCTCATTATTCCCTACTTGTCTGCTTTTAAAGAAGAAGACTCACTGTTGTTCTCCTTAGCTATGCACCCAGAGACACAGCTTATCTAACCACATCATTAATGTGCATATATATTGTTGTTATTAGTTACTTTAGAACTTCTATGCCAGGCTCAATCTGTGTCAAATACTGATTTCTTTTTTACAACACAGCTACACTATAAAGAGACAATATTATCATTTCAACTCTTATTATAATTACATTCATTTCTAACATTTCACTCTTTGAACATGCCTGTTACTAAAATCAAACTACATATTTATATATAAATTATAACAGAAAGATATATTTTGGGAATAACAAAATTACCTTGAAGACGGTGTCTTCATCCCAAGGAAGAATTGTCCTGAGATCAATAAGTTCACAGCTCACTCCTAGCTGATCTTTTGCCATTTTACAGACATCTCGTAAGACATGGATCTGTGTGCCCCACCCCACTACTGTTACATCTGAACCTACAAACAAAAAAACAACAATAATGTGCAATGTGATAATAACAAGTCAAAAATCACTTCACCTCTGAAGGTTTAACATACCCTCCTCTAGAATTTCTGCCTCAGAGAGTGGGATTTCATAGTCTCCCACAGGAACTTCTTCAACTGCTTGTCTGTACAAGATCTTGGGTTCAAAAAATACAACTGGATTCTTGTCTCTGATAGAAGAGAGGAGTAGTCCTTTTGCTTGAATTGGCCCCCTTGGTATAACGACCTGAAAAAGGGTACAATACAAAATTTTTTTTGACTCCTAATACAACTTAAAAGGTTGATGGTTAGGGTTCATCATGTTCTCTAATTTAGAGCCGGTTTACATGGTGGTGGGGGACTCCAGGTAGGTGAGGTAACCCACCTAGCTGTGGTTGAAAAATAAGATGTGTTTACAAACAATCTTACAATATATATGTATATATAAGTTAAAGAATCAAAGAGGATGCATCGATTACTCTGAGTTTTGCGCCTAAGTGCCCTAACCCTAACCCTAACCCTAACCCTAACCCTAACCCTAACCCTAAGACAGAACTTACGAGAACTGACAAGTGCTTAGGCACAAAACTCAGAGTAGCAGAGAATCAATGCGTCCTCTTTGATTCTTTCACTTATATATACTCAGCTCTGCTACCACAGCATTGAGCACTTTATGCCAAGGTAGACTCTACCCCCATAAATGTGGGGGTAGAGACAGACAGAACTCTGATGAGTGCTTAGGCACGAAACTCAGAGTAACAAAGAATCGATGTGTCCTCTTTGACTCTTTCACTTATATATATATATATATATATAAAATAATAATTTAATAATAATTTATTTACTTATATAACACCCTTTAACATTTATGGATGATCAAAGGCGCTTTACAATTAGTGTCTCTTCCACCCATCCCACCCCAGGGGAGGACATCCACCACACAGTAATCTCGTGCATGGGAAATTAACGTCTCCTACCCCAACCCAGCAGGAGACGGGGCCTATGGTTTTACGTCCTATCCGAGAAGACGAAGCAATGTGAGTGAAGCATCTTGCTTAAGGACACAACGTCATGCCCCAGCCAGGACTTGAACCCGGGCCGTTGGACCCAGAGTCCAGCACACTGACCACTGGACTACTCACACCTCACCATGTATATATATATATATATATATATAAATTTCAAAAAGGCTTTTGTTTACCTTCAATCCTGGAACATGAGCAAAGAAACTTTCCACAGACTGTGAATGATAATGAGCCCCATGGCCAACAGCCCCACATGGTGCTCGTACAGTTAAGCTTCCACAGTTGAAAAGATTTCCTGACCGATACCTAAACTTTGCAGCTTCATTCACCAGCTAAAATAATATGAGAACATCTCACTGAAAGTTAGGGGCAGTACAAATTAATCAGATGACCTTACATATAAAATTTTCAATACAAGGTACCAGTGAAAGCAACAATTATTCATTCATCTTGCAATTTAAGATAAATATAATTCAAGGATGCAATTCATGTTCTGTTATGATAATATTATGTAAATAATCTCTTAAACTCCTTCAAATGTTTTCACTTACAAAAAACTTAGTGTTTTTAAAAACTTACAAAAATATGAGGGCTTACAGTGTACAGTACTTTCAATAAGATTTGAAGTAAGTGGCTACCTTGGTAAAGCACCCGCAGGAGAATAATATGAAAAAACAATTTTGCTCTCATTAGCCCACTAGTTCCATTCAGAATAAATTGGCTTCAAACTGAGTTTTTTGTGTTGAACTTTGGTAAATGATCAATGAATATTGGTCTCCTTTGTAACAATTGTTTAACTGGATGTTTATTTCTAATCAAATCTTCCGTTGCCAACTTGCAAACCTGCTGCCCGAACTTCACACAAAAAGTCTTCTGAAGGGACATATGGTTACTGGTTACTGAAATTTGTGTCAGGATGTTCTTGTTCACTCAAAATCTTATTTTTCCTGGAAATGTGGTATTTGGTATGACAAGACAATACCAATGGTTTTTACTCAAAACTTGTTTATCACCTAAAAGATGTCGAGGTGTTTTATGTCTCATTTGTTGAGTGTGTTTGAAAGATTCCACAAAGTTACAGAAAGATCCAGAATGGCAGTGACCACCCAACATTGCTTAGTACTTCACACTTTCAACCAGCAGTCAATAAAAATAATACAAGCTAATATCTTGTGTGCATCAAATTTCTGTATGCACATGTTCTCAAATTTTAATGTTACTATCAAAACCTTTCTTCCCCTGGCCAAGCCACTGAGATACTATCATTTTCCATTCATACATCCTTTTTTGACTCACAGTCGCTTATAATATTTGCATTGTAAAGCCATGATCTTTGTTCAAACCTATCAGTCTTCTACCTCAAAATACTGAACTAATTTTATGTGATTTCAAGTCTTTTTTTATTTTATTTTTTTATTTTTTTTAGTGGGTGAAATTAGAAATATGAGGTAGTGAATTCCACCAGTTTTGTTTCTTGGAAAAACCCCAAGAATATTTTTGTCAGCAGAATTGTTCATTGTCGACGGATTTAGCCACCATAACTGTTTAAATATTAACATAATTGAATTAAATCAATCAGCCAATGAATTTTGGCTGTTCCCACAACTCATGTTTCATATTACATCCTAAACAATTAGAAAAAGGTCTTCCTCGATTTTCACTGCAAAAGCAGCTTGTTTTTTTTTTTTTAATACAAGGGTAAATGCTGAGTGTTCAATGGCTGTTTTCATTTCTATCTTGAGTTCATAGTTAAGCCTAGGTTAAAGTTAACATCTTTGTGAAAAAGTTCCAAATTTGATTTCCTAGTCTATCAACAAGCAAGCTGTTTTATCATTTTTGATTTTCAACTAGCGGTTAAGTTGAACTGCTGTTGTTTTATTTTTCCAAAAGTATTTCATGATTTTAGTTCAGCACAAAATTGTTTAAAAGACCATTTCAGGCAACCAAAGATATGTACTTTGATTTCACACATGGTCAATTTTTGAAGAACACCCAAAACAAGCAGAAAAAGAAAACTGCTATTGAAAGAATGAATCTAACAAAAAAGGACCAAAGAATTAAATGAGGTGAACACTCCAACACTAAATTGGCTATTATTTTGAATGTGATTTATTTCTTTTTTTTGTTCTGTTAATTTGACTTGGATGTGACAAAGTATACCCAGCGATTCACAACAGAATACCTGCCGGAGCTCCAGCGGGTGCCAGGTGTTATTGAAAGCACTGAATAACTTACAAAACTTGCTGGACAATATAAGTGAAATTTTTTGGTTATTGTTTTTTTCTGTTAGCTGTTCCTATCACCAGAAAACAGCCAGTAAAAATTGCCAGCTTTTGGACGAAAAAAATGTTGAAATATTATATTAAGTCTGATTTTAATTTCCCAGATGCAGTGTGTAATAAACAAGCTTTTTTATATAATTCCACTGAGTTTCTTTTCACCTGATCAAATGCAGGGAAAATATAATCAGCAAACTGAATCTCAGCAATAGCTGTAGCACCTGCTGCAGCCATTCCAATTCCAAAACCAACAATTCCTTGTTCACTGAGTGGTGTGTTGAAGACTCTGTCTTTTCCTGGGAAAACATTGGGTGAATAATGTGTGCCTTAGAAAAACTCAATTTTAAATGTGAACTAGTTATCCACATAACACTGATTGGTGAGTAATATCATACATGCTCAGATTTGAAATTTACCAGTCAGATAAAAAGTTTCTACTAAAAAAACAGTGACAAATGACACGATAGTTAAGGTTCAATCAAAAAAAGTTAGTTACCATATTTGTCCTTTAGACCAACTGTACATCTAAAAACTCCACCAAATGCTACATCCTCTCCAAATACAACTACAAAAACAAAATTTAAACACAGCTTTTGTAAATTACCCAGTTAGTATAGTGATATGTTCAATATTACTAAGTGCATTTCTGGTAGGATAGTCTTAAAACACATCACAAACATACATCATTTTGTTTGATGTTATTCAGTTCCTTGTCTTTAAAATTCAGACCCTTACCCATCTAAAAAGTGGGTAGGTACAAAGAAAAGACTTTCAGTAAGAAGCTCTGCTTTAGGTTTGGCTAAATGTGCATCTCCATGAAGATAATTTGAAATATTTGAACCAGATATCACAAATCATTCAAAAGGAAATTTATTTACCCGAAGTTGGATCTGAATCAAGAATGATATCCATTGCATTTGTTAAAGACTGAAACAAATTCATTTTTTGAGTTTCTCCTGGAAAGGGATTTATAAAAAAATAGTGATAAGTAAATATGAACCTTCAAAATATCACATATGTATTTAGCTCAATATAATATATACAAATATTTAGAACAAAGGGTAATAGAGGATTTGATATGGGAAGTAAACCACTCTGTACACATATTACAATTAAGAGATCTAGAACTCAGAACTATTATGGCACAGGGACTGGTAAAGTTTTAGGCAACATAAGTTAACATAACCATCTATGCAGCAAGACATAGAAACTTGTGGAAATGTCTCAAACTTACAAATGTTTTATCTCATTTAAATATATTTTGAACAGCTAATTACACACCACAGTTACATTCAAATGCACATGGGCATGAGAAATGGTAACCTACATTTCATTATGAAACAGTTGTTTAATGATGCCTGATTGAAGTTCACATTCTTCAGTCGTAGGCAATACAGCACAAGCAGGATAGCTATGAGAGATAAACTAGCGAGTAGAACATGCTAGTATTGACCGAGTCTAACTGCACATACAACAGCACCCATACATGTATAAGTCATACACATACACCTTTTGGCAGTTCCTCATATGTAACTAGACTAATCCAATTCGATCTGAAAAGGCTGTATGCATAACAAATTAACAAACAGAAAGGTTTCACTATTATCAAGGTAGAGTAAATGGTTTGAACCTGGGGGTAACATGTAACAGTGTAGTTTGATCATCCTGGTGAGTGTAGTAGTTTAATCGTCCAGGGGAGTTTAGTCTTGAGAAGGAATGTTGTCAGCAGTGGTGACTGTCCTTCTCAGGACTACACTCACTCAGACGATCAAACTACACTATTACATTATAATAGTATTAAAAGTTCTGTACATCAAATTATTTGATATAAAATTTTGTTTTCTAGGACAGTATTGAGTTCGATTTGCTCCCCGTAATAAATGAATGGAAACTTAATTAAGGTATGTTTAGTAAAGAGTTTTGTTGGAAGGTGCGTCGCATGTATCGATTGCCGTCAATTAGGAAATATCTGATTTCGACCACCGCAACTTGAGGTAGATATTTCACTTTCAAAAAACATAAGAAGTTATAATAAATTTTATCAGATTTAAATGTCTACTAGGTTAATGTAACTTAGCAAAATAAATCTAGTTCAGTCTAAATATTGTTCTCTGTTTGGTTAATGAGTTTGGTTTTGTCTATAGCTTACCATCAAGAGGTGACGGAGAATCAGGAACGAATGTCAATGTTGAAGCACATCTACCATATGTTTGAAATGCACTTCGAGAGCCTCCTAGGGGGTGAGATTTCCTGGGAAAATGCAACAAGTGCGATTTTAAAAGCTTTGTCAATTCGCGGACACCCGCCATGTTGGAAATTAATCGATTCCAGTACTACGGATTTTTTAGTACCCATTCTTCTGACTCGGCCAACCAAGTACCTGAATGTTTACATCTTGGCTGTTGAGCTCCGTTAAGTAAAAATTAAAATTTAGATAAAAGTTAAAATTACAAATTTCGAGATTTTACGAGCCACTGTGAAAGTTTGATCAGTGGATCAGGATCTGTTAAATTTTCAGTGACAACCTGAACTGAGATGTTTACAACTACATTGAAGCAAAAATATAATAACTGCGGTACATGCCATGAACCATGCTTTCTTTTTCTTCTTTTCAGTTTGATCAGAAAAGAGGATAAAAATGTTTCGTTAAAAAAAGACAAAAACAATTTAAATATTGTGTGTTTTTGTGGTTAAATCTGAACTACCTGTGTAATGAGAAAATTTTTCACAACAAAAAAAAGCTAGGAAGAGAGTGGGTGGCAGACGTCATTATAATATTTGTGTTATTTTCAAACAAAGAAAAATCCAGCATCACTTCTCTATTCAGACCGTTGATAAAAATTTTAAATAGGATATCTTATTGTGTTCATTTATAAGAGAAAAAAGTTTTCCCATCTGTTACAATGGAGAAAAATCGAGAGAGGGGCCGTGCTAAAACATATCGGTGCTTCTTCTAACACTCAGTTTTCAAAAGCCATCATCAGCATACCCACGTTTTTGAAGAGTCACATTCGAACAGAGATACAAAAAAAACATCCTCTTTCCTGAACTTTTGTTCGATAATAACATAAAAGATATTGATGAAAATAACAATTACAATGTTTAGTTATCGGTAACATGGAAACCATACTCAGTAAAGGAAGCATGAATGCGAACTTCAATTTTTAATATGGAGTACTAAATAAAACGCGATGGGGAGGTGGAAACTTTCATTAATCTAGTAACGATTATCCTGTATGATCTTAAGCAGTCATTAAGGTCTGAAGGAAGCTTCTCAATTCAATTCCGAAGTGGGGTGTAGAAAGAGAATTTTCAGCACAAGTTTGATCCATACATTGATGATAATAATCCAATTCCACCCACCAAACTCCGAATGAAATTTATCACAAGACAAAATCTTTTGAGAGACCACAATGGCACCTGGAAATGCTGTGTTGCCTATCCTCTCGGCTATGATGCCAGCCTACGCATGCGACCTTCTCAGCCAAAAAATCCATTGGATACAAAGTTAGAAGTGTTGCTTTATTGTTGAAATGATGTGCAGTTCCAAAGACAACTGGTCTCTATTTACTGAGGAACAAGTGCAGCATGTAAGTAGATTTTCAAAAGGGATTTGTAAGTATCTATAGTTGAGTGCTCCGGCAAGGTTTCAGCTGAGCAAGCACGTTTGATAACACACTGAAGATATCAACAAATGTGGCTCTTTTTTCATTTTTTTTGCGGGTTATTTAGATCAACCGCCTGAGCAATATCAGGACAAAATAATTAAATGTGGCGTGAAAATAACCGTCTTATTCGGTAACTAATATTTTTTTAAATAAAACTTTTATAATGATTTACACACCTGTTAGAAAACTTATTGTTAAGGCATGCTGGTCAACAGAGCCCACCTAGTGTCTGAGCAAGTTTTTTCTTCGACAATTTTCAACAAAGGATTGCTACTAATGGGAAGACCTTCCTCCTCGCCGAGGAACAATGAGGCAACTGTGTGAAATTTCAGGATTAGTTCGTGAGATCCCACTACTCACGGTTTTCTTTTTGTTTTTGAGTTCTGTTGAAGGTAACAGCGCTTCTTGGAAGTACTTGAGCGAAATATCCAAGACTTTCAGGAGATATATGTTCTCCACAAAACAGCATTTTCTCTTCTTTTCTACAGTTGCCGCCTGAAACCTGCAGCCGACGCGAGAGAATGAGAGTCGTTAAAGTCCTAAAAGAAATTTCTTGGAAATTTTGATCTAACAGCCACCACTCTATTATTAGATCGGGTTTATTGTCCTTCCTACATGGATCCGGACTTGCAGTTGCTAGGAAGTAATTCCACGGTCCTGGAATTCTCCGAATAAATTTTTTTGAAGCAGATATTTTCAAAGGCCATCTTTTTAAAGCTTACCAACATTGCCTAGTAATGGCAACGAAAAGTTCAATATTTTTCAGGGCATCGTTAATTCTATGAAGAGGAAAAATGAAACATATTGTTTTCAGAGAAAGAAAATTTCCTTTACCGTTCACAGACGCCCACACAACAATTTAACCCAGGGTTAAAAATCTCTAACTAGAAGTTTCTTAAAAATGTAAATCAGGTTTTAACCGACACCACTGTGTATATTGAGTGGTGTTTTCCTGTTTGCTGTCGCATCATCGGTCAGTGACTTAAAAGCTTCATTTAGAAAGTAGTTCTAAGAACATAAGGAGTGTTTGGGTGATAAGTTTTGTTCATTTAAGGAGTCTTATCTGTGTTAAGTCGAGACACTTTCCGCACTTGTTGTTTTAACTGGTATTAGGAACTTGAGATTAATTGTGCAAACCGCCGTGGCTACACCAATAAATTTCATTTCTATTTGAAATTTCACGTTACACCTGCGGCTAATACCAAATTCGCCTTGAAAGAACGCTTATTTCGAAAAGTGATCGGAAATGCCTATATTTGCAGCATTCTCACATCAGTGAAGTGATCGGTGGCCTGTGGTTGGTGTATATGCAAATTAAGCGCCAATGATCGGCGTCTAAGGTTAAAGATCATTAGAGCCCTTCGTCATACCGGAATTAACAGTTTTGAACAGAAGCGGTACGACCATAGCTTAGAATTTCTTGACAAGTACATTCCGTCCTCGACTAACAGTATTGATAAAAGCAATAAAATTGGATGTAATGGTTTCCCTTAAAGAAAAAGAGAACACGACTTGTTACATAATCATTTTGCTTGGTCAAAATATCAACCCAACGAAAAATAAACGCTTCATTTATTCAAAACAAAACCATAAAAGTTACTTTCCCTCTCGGGAGATTATTTCATATTCTACTCGGTACGTATTAATTATGAGACACTTATCGTGGTGAGTAATGTTTCTATCGTATTTCAGTCACTGTTCCAAAGCAAGTTCATCACAAATATATAGTGTGAAATTGCGAAATTACATTAAGCACGAACGTCTAGTTTGGCCGTTCCAAACGGCGTATTTACATAACAACAGTATTCGGGGATTGTGAAGAACTTCCTTCTCTGTTTCTTCACGAAACGAATTACATTTTAAGGCTTGCTTCACGTCCCTCGCACACCAATACGGTGATAGACAAGTATGTTTATACCGTACCTAGAAATAACTACGGGTTACAACGTTGAAAATAAACTACCATCTGCTCCCTCATTATAAAAATATAGACTCACTTCCAAAGTTCAGAGAATCCAGTGGCGAATGTGACGCATACCTTCATTGGAGGTCTAGTTTCAAAGTTTTCATTGCGGTAACGTTCTTGAAACGTTCTTTAAAAACACGGAACTAAACTGTTATAAGCATAGGTACTTAATGTTTGACTTCTGGTCGATACAGGCACCATGTAACCAGAAGCAGGAACGAATGGATAAGATGCTGTCTTATCGCTGTACACCACCATCGGCATATAACTCACTTCACCGCGATGCTGCTTTCCTAAAAAGTCTATAAGGCGAAGGGTTTGTTTTCGTTCGTGTCCCATGAGGCAAACCGTGGAGGATGAAACAATATGATAAAGAACCATCAAATATTCATATTGAGCTCGCTCGTCTCCGATGAAATGATTTGCCAAGTAACTCTCCAACTTCTGTTGCTGCTGATGGATATCGCTGAAGTCGATAAAGAAACGACTACACATGTATCTCTCTAGGATCTTGATCTCTTCGTAGTTTTCTGGTACATAATTTCGCACCAAAAGATTGCAGTACTTAAGGAGACCACCACCTCGTATTTCCTCCGGGTTACGGGTAGCTATCAGTTTGTTGTCTAAATGATAGAGGGCAAGCTTAATATCGCCGTAAACCGACTCGGCAACAACGGTGGGGAAGAAATTAGGCTTCATCGGCACTGGCGACAGTTTGTAGAAGCCAAAAAGGGAATCGAGGATAATTTGAAACGAATCAACCGAGAATTCAAACTGCCTACGCATCGAGTCGACGAATTTCAGTTCGACGTTTTTCCCTTGGTTGTTCCAAAGCGAGATTAACGACCAACGATCGTTGTCAGTCGACACTTTCACCATCTTTTGAACATAGGCTTCTTTCAAGATGCAGCTATTGATTCTATCCTTCGGTACTTCACTGGGGAAGAAATTGAGAAGCGAGTTCAACACGACACACTTGATCTGCTGTAAGTGCAAATTAGAGCGAATCTCCACACCGAAGATCAAGTCAATATCATTGTACGAACAGTTGCTCTCTGTACTTAAGATATTGCTGGCAGTACTTCCATTCAATCGGAGGTCGCGGACTTTTAATCCTTCCTCTTTAAGGCCTGCTGTCACAGTCTCTATAAAATCTTTGAGGGGTACTTCTAGAGTAGGAAAATTTCCTCGGCCATGAATGAAGACAGTTTGGTTTAATACACTGTGAAGACGAGTGAGCTGGTTGAATGTGAGAACTTGGCAGTTGTTTTTAAGCTCCATATCCGCTCTTTTCTTCTGCACTGTCGTCTACTGTAGTAAGAATGTAGAGATCTCTGGATCGTTCGTTTAGGGAATACAAACTGTGTAAATTTACCGATGTAGTGGTAAAAATTTGCCGACGACAAGAAGATATCATGTCGCAGTCATAATTTGCACGATCTGATTGGCTAGAGAGACAATACAACTCAGTCTCTTGGCAACAGCACGAGAGTTAGGGGTGACAGGATATTATTACAACCAATGACATGATGGGGTTTTATCAGCCCACATCCCGCCCACAATTCGTAAACATATTAGATAAAATTTCATGTTTCAGCAAATTGCCTTAGCTTCCTGCCTTTTGGGTTGTATACATTCTCTGGCAGAAAATAGCAAGGCTTGCGAAAAAACACTCTATGCGATGATCAAGATTCTCAGAGAGGTTTGATTTCTTCCCGGAAAGTTGACGCAGCACGAAGATCATTAGGGAATGTGCGTCAATAATTCAGATCGAAGGCGTAAGATAGCATTATCAGCCCTCGTGCATCGCATTATTCATGAACACAAAGGGACGAAATTAAATGAGTTTTTGAACGTTTAAGTGACGTCAGAGATTACAAGAGTTTTATTTGTATACGGAAAAAACTGGTAGAATTGTTCTCAAGCTCTACGAAAATAAATAGCTTCAACCAATACGCAGTACGAGAGGAAGTTTCACTGCTAAATTAATAAAATTACGATCAATGTCGGAAACTCCTGTTTTTAATTCCGAAATTTCCCAACGGATTGTGCGAAGTATTCGAAATCTCCTTCGTGAACTAAACCAAGGGAAAGGAATTCGTTGAAGTAAGTTTCTACAAACGGGAATAAAATCTCCCCCTCTAAAAAAAAATAAAATAAAATAAATATGCATCCCATCGGAAGTAAACTTTAATCTTTTGAAAGTATATTCCAAAAATCCTTCTTAGAATCATTTATATATGTACAAAATACTAAGTTTAACTCATTTTTTCATTTAATTATACTGTAAAGATACAAAATATTCAAAAGTAAGTCAAGGGCTCAGTAGTAAACACTGATTAAGAGGAAAATCTTTTGTAATAAACAAGATTGATAACCTGAACTAGACGAAAATTTTGTCACGATATTATATCAACTTCCTTCCTTCAGCGTCAAGGATCGTTTTCAATGAAAAACACGCTCTAAAATTTACATTTCAACAACTTGACACTTTCCAGATCAGTTATCTTATTTAATATTTATCCAGATTTCTCTGTTTCTTTTCCGCTGAAATGAGTGCACCAGCGAAACGATATTACTTCAAAATAATTCATTCCTTAGCCGGAGAGATGATTAAAATCCTCACTAAATATAATGGTGGGAACTCACGAACCCATATTTATTTATATACAAGTTATTTGAGCTATGTCTGAAAGTAAATCTACAGAAATATACTGTCAGCGGAACGAATACATCCTTTAAGGGAGCTTTTATTGTGTAATTTATTTTCGTCACATGTCTGTCACTAGTTTAAACTGAAGCGCTTATGAAAGATTTCGTTTAAGATTTGCTGTCAAGCTGATACGGATAAATTAAGATAAGAAAGGAATTATTTCGACCATCAAGGAAGAAATACGTTTTAAATCCCCCAAACCACCCCACATTAAACTTCCTACAAGTCCCAAAGCGTTAATTTCCAAAAATATCTTTATTCCTTTTCATATATTCAAAAGTACAGTTTGTTGCTACCAATTCATTTCAATAAATTTTTGACGCTTCTAGACTTGATCTAACTACATTTGTAATTTACAGTATTAATTATCGTGGATCAATCGAAGAAAAAGCCCGAGTTGAAACACAATATAAATCTAAATGAAGAAAAAGTGGCACTCGCTATGGTCCTTCTCTCTCTCAAGGCAAAATTCGGTTGCCTGTAGCACCTATGTGTTTGTAGAAATATCATCTTGTCCATATCTACCTTGTTCTAATCGTAGATATCAAAGCCTCATTCCGTGAGCTAAAAAAAGACGACAATTCCCCGAGGAACAAACTCAGAAAAATAGAGATACAATCTTACTTCCAAGTCGTCTTCATTAGTTTGTATTAAAAACAGTTCCTTAATGTTCATGCATTTATTGGACTTATCTAATTCATTCTAACACTAATCGAAGTTTTTCCTGAGTAATTAAAGAAGAATTCCTCTTATCTCTAAAACTGCCACTTGAAAAAGTGGCTGAATTTTAACGAGGCATTACAAGAATCATTTGAATATGGTCCGAGAATGATGCGGACTGAAGAGTAATTGTAAGCCGAATCATTTCACTGCCGGAATAGATATGGCATTTATTGTCTGAGGAGGCAATAACCGCCATGTGTCTTCCAAAAGATGAGTAACTGTCTAAATTTATTGGCGGAATCGGTTTCATCTTAAATTTAAACAACGACTCTTACAGACTTCCCGTGCGGTACGTACTGGCTGGAGTGTGGTAATTATTTCCATTTTCCTGTGAGGAAAAATTGATAAGATTAACAACAAACGAAACGACTAACAAAAAAACTACTTCCAAAAGCCAAAAACAAAAAAAAAACCAAATAAGAAGTAAAATAAAACAAAACTCTACCGTTTGAGGTTCACGGGGGTAAAGTGTGTCTAACCTGCTCTGGACACATTTTTTGTTTGTTACCAGGGCATTTTTGTTATATTATGGTAAAACACATACCTTCATGTCATACTCTAAGACGAAGGCCGGAATTTCCAATTGATCAGGATCAATCCAGTCATACAGGTACTGGATTCCAGACAAAAAGTGAACCTTATCTTTGATTGAGGAAGCGGTGAAAGTCGTGAAAAACCACGTAACAATTCTAACCCAAACAGTAGGGTGAACTATGTAAAAGGCTTTAAGATTACGACGATACCTAAGCACAAGCAGAAATATGTGTCACTCAAGTCATGTGATACTAACGTACAAATGTTACTGACGATGTTTTCATATTATTGACCAATCCCCTGGATAAAGGCTAGTCTCCCATGTTGGCAGATTAAAAACAATTTAAATGAAACCAACCTCCCGCCAGCTCTAAGTAAAGTGTGATTTAACTCAGTAACATCAAAGGTGAGAAAAACTAACTTGTTATCCACCAAATGATAAATATCTTTCAAAAATGACAATGGAGGCTGATTTTCCTCTGAACTCAGTGTATGCAAGTACACAATAACATAATCCCTGTTGACAATCTTGTCCAATACGGAGATGAAGTAAGCTACAGCCTGAAAAACAAGACAGTAGGCAAAAGTAAAACCTACAACCTCGAACATATGTGGCAATCCCAGAAGTCACGCTACGAGTCGTTATGGTCTGGGTTGGGCTTCGGTTTATCTAAACTTGTCTGGCGATATTGTTTTCGATTTTCAGTATAAGCAATTCCGACCTCCCCCTCGTCTGTTCACAACAAAGACAAACATACGAATTTCGCTTTTATAATACAACATGAACACAGTTCCATGACCTCATCATCACCGATCGATGTTTACGAGAAAAAATTAAAGATTGCAATTCATGCTCAACTAATTAAAAACACTTCTCGAGTAGACCACCAAAAACAACTCTTAGTATAAGACAAAATAACCGCAGAACAACATACACCATGTCTATCTAAAGGTTAAAAGGTTGGGTTTTGATCTGTAACACAAATTCGATCACCTGGTTTTGGTGGGTCACTTCTTAGAGGGAGGGGTGTAAGTATCAATTCTGCAGACTTTGACCACCCCTACAGCATACAGGAACAAACCTTATTTAAGTCTACACTTCTTGCTTGAAAATGTCGACCAACAAATACTATAACAGGTCTGCCAAGAAAATCCACACCTACATAACACAGATTTAATATTGTGGTTATTAAAATAATGCCCAAATATCGGTTGCCACACCACAGAGTTAGTGAATAAGTCAGAAAGAACAATTGAAAATTACTCACATTACAACTCATGGAAAAGATATGTTGTGACTGATCCATGGAGGATTGTGTTCCATCAATACTACATCAAATCAATAAATCTGCACTTTCCGATTGATTTAATGGCATAATAACAATGCACTTGATGTTGCCAGAACATAAGAAAAGTCTGTACATCACTTGCCTGACTTTGTGCTCATTTAGAAAAAAAACAACATTTGGATGAGAAATGTCAGTGAAAAGGAAAAATTAACCAAAAACAAAACCTGATTGGTAGACCATCTTTAGCCTCAGGAGACTTGAGAAATCTTCTGTCCTGGCTCGTCGCAGCCATCTCTGATACCTGAAATAAACAACATCCCTACACAATTAATACAGAACAGGTCATACATGGATACCAAAAGATTCAAAATCAATTAAAACCAATGGCTACAATGTGTAACTACAATGTATGGTGGGGTTGCCAATTGAAGACTTCTCAAATCTCTTACACTCTCTCATGTTGAATCGCATGTTGTTCACTGGGTGATCTTTGTAATCGTTGTCTTGTTAGTTGATCATGATCTCCTGCCATTGCTGAGAAGGAATGTTTGCCAACAGTAGCTGAGTCCAACATGTGAATAGCACCAGCTTCTTCTGCTTCTTCTACATCAGCATCTGCACATGTTTTAAACACTTTCCAATCAACTCACTATTCTATATTATATCTGCTGGCACTGGATTAAATAAAAAAGAAGGGTTTGTACTTTCTCAGAGCTGAGATAATGGAGCAAATGTACATATTCCTTACCATCATCAGAGTGTCTTTGACCGAGTGGTTTATCCATTATTCTAATTTGTCTTTCAGCAATCACTGGTTCACCATTTTCATTCCCTTGCAAATGCAATGACAGAGAAGAAACTAAATATTCTGCTAAGTCTGCATGAGTAACTTTCAACTGGTGTTAAGGTTGCAACCTTCCAGGATTGAAATTGAAATTATCTTTTATAGTTAGTTTCTCATGTCAGCTGCCAAATCTATGACAGAAAAAGAAATTTCAGCTCACCAATGTCATCTGGAAGTTTATTCAACACATAGTCTTCCTCTTCTTTGCTTCTAGGGAAGTACAGAGGCATGACATTCTTGTATATGGCCTTGCAAAAAAACCAGTAAAAAATTCATGTAGTTAGGATGAATGACACAAAAGGTTAAAAAAAAAAAAATTAACCCTTGTACCTCATCAGCATTTTCAGCAGCAAAAATAACAAGTTCAATATCAGAAAACTTTTCCAGAAATCGTCTAACAGTTCCTGCAACCAAAACATAAAACTATCAAATCCTGCATGTGTTTTCTAAGAAACGCTAAAAACATACATGTGGATGTTGACATTAATGAATAACTGTTTTAATCTATACAAGCTTGGTAATAGAACTTTGACATGAGGAGATGTTAGAAAAAAGAATATTGAAGAAAAACAAAAACAACAAAAATAATTACACAAAAAGACATTGATTATTTAATAAGACCCATTGAGAAGACAGGTATACAGGATCAACAATATTATTTTATTCTTCCTTTAATAAAAAAACAAATCAACAAAATCTGATAGCCAAAGAAACTTCTAATCAAGACTTACGTAAAGCTATGTGGGCACCATCCTCAGGGGGGTAGCCTCTTCTGGATGTGTTTATCACACAGAGACCAACTGAGGCAATCCTGTTCTCTCTTAATTATATAATATGTGAAATTAGTTATTCTGTTAGCCATTCTCATGGTATCAATAACTTTGTCACATGGATAAAAAAAGCAAAATTGTTCTTGGAAGTAATCTTGCAAGTCATGTACAAGAATGTTCTTACAAGAGTGGCCTAACTCCTCTGGGTTCTAAAAGATTTAAAATTGTTTCCCATTTCCCTGTTTTTTGTTGGCTAGTACTTGCTTTTGAAAACCTGATTTCCTATACTACCCACATACCTCTCAAAGGAATCTATGGTTTGCATTTGGTTTCCTCAAAGAATTAAAAATAACCTTTAACCTACCATTAGGTAAGTCAGGTTTGACTTTTTTATTCATGACATAAGTCATATAGACTGGTACTGACCAATAACTTACAGTATTTCCCATGAAATGTCCAACAATTCTGAAATTACCCACCTCACTATTTTCATTACACTTCTGTAACAAGAGAAAAGAGCACTCTCTGCTGCAGTTTTGTATTTGATGTTGTATCGTGGACCCACAGTGTGAATAACAAATCTACAAGTTACAAAATGAGGACTGTTTAACCTCTAAATAAAGCTAATAAGTGATGGAACCACAGGTAAAGTGAATGCAAGATACACTACAGTTAAAACATGACCAAATAACATATCATTAAAAGGATAAAAAGTTGCTACCTCAACAACATTTTTGTTCAGGGGTAATATTTTGTTTGGGAGTTTTCATCATAAATAAGCCAGTTATATTTACTAATTCCAAAAATTCACATTTGTAAATTATTTGTATAAAACTCATTTTTATATAGGCAAATACGACAAAAAGATGTCCATCCTCATTACAGCATTTTCCCTCCAATTTCAACTTCCTGCATGCATCTATATCTTGATATACCATGACACTAAACATGAACTAATTGTTCAATCTTCATCAGGTGTAACAAAAGTATTGCACACAGTAAAAATGTTACTCAAACATTTGGTCTTGAAAGGTTAGAATTGTAGTGTGAATGAAGGTTATTATATCACATACCTTGCTGGCAGACCATAACCCTTTGAAATTTTAGCTTCTCCAGTCCTGCACCCTGACAGCAATTATGACATCACGTTTCAATTTTAAATAACAAAAAAAATGCCAACAGAGATACACCACATTACAACACTGAACCTGAGTTGCACACAATACTGCCTCATGGACTAATTAACTGATAAATTAAAGGGAAGGAAATTTGAGGGAAAAAATACTACAACATACAGGTAGCTATCAAAAATTTAATACTGATTCAGCTCCAGGACAGTTTTAAAACATATATTGTTCATCTGATGATAAAGAACTAGAACAGACTTATCTTACCAAGTAACTGTGTTTTACATTCCTGCAAGAGTTCTGGACCTGCTGCCCGATGGATTCTTTCACTTAACATTCCTTTGCTACTTAAAGATTCATTTGTTGTGTTAACTATTGCAATGGTATTCAGTTTAGTGATATCACCAGACCTAAAAATCAGAAAAAAAATTACTTTAATTAGTCTTTGTAAAATGCAAAACCCAAAGGAGCAGGGAAGTATAGTTAAGTCAAAAGCACAAAACACCTTGTTGATAGTGACAAAAAAAAATGTCCAGTAATTTTACTTTAAATTTGCTGTATATACGAGCCTCTGTTGGAGTAGCTGTTGATGTGATGAGTTCAATCCTCAGTTTCCTTTGCCTGCTGTGAAGCAGGCTATCATTAGTGATGAGATACAAGTAGCAAAGTGTTGTTTTCAGCAAGCAAGTTTAAGTGTGCAAGAGGTCTGCAAGGGTTTTGGGACAAAAATTAGAGCCTGCTAATGGACACCACTGTTTTCCGATTCTAGTTTCACATTTAACAACTTAATAGTGAAAATTGCCAAAGTTATTTGCCAACAGAATTGGATAAAATAATGAGAGCAAATCTCAAAATGAGACATTTTGATCAAAGATAGCTCAAATGATCATAAATTGTGGCAAAAGAGTTGTATGCAAAGTCTATATATGTAATGCTTTTGTTTTACTGTATGAAAAAATGTACTATAGTGTAAAGGGCATCTAATTAGCTTGCTATAATATGTCATTCTCTGTTTTCTTTATCTTGTTGTAATCATTCAAGGGTTGTCATTGTTGAAATAGAGGAAATAATAAAAATAAGAAAATAATAAAACACAAAGTGTGCCAAAGTGCTGAGTTTGCAAGTGCTCTTTCACTGTTAAACATAACAGGAAGATCAGGCTGGGTATTGACTGAAAACTTATTCAACTTATGAAATTCCCATAGGAGCCAGAGAGAAGTATTGTTAGTGATCTACAAAGATGTAGACATTCGAATGGTAAAGTGGTCTGATTTTTCAGGTCTAGTTGACAATCCGTGGACACAATGTAAAATAGAAACCCAACTAAAGGCAGTACACAGGTGCTCACGACCTGCTTTTGTTTTACTGTGTGAAAAAATGTACCATAATGTAAAGGGCATCTAATTAGCTTGCTACAATATGTCATTCTCCATTTTCTTTATCTTGTTGTAATCATTCAAGGGTTGTCATTGTTGAAATAGAGAAAATAATAAAAATAATAAAACACAAAGTGTACCAAAGTGCTGAGTTTGCAAGTGCTCTTTCACTGTTAAATATAACAGGAAGATCAGGCTGGGTATTGACTGAAGACTTATTTGACTTATGAAATTCCCATGGGAGCCACAGAGAAGTATTGTTAGTGATCTACAAAGATGTAGACATTCAAATGGTAAAGTGGTCTGATTTTTCAAGTTTAGTCAACAATCCGTGGACACAATGTAAAATAGAAACTCAACTAAAGGCAGTACACAGGTGCTCACAACCTGCTTTTCTATTCAAAAGTACATATTAACAACCAGCCACAGTTTTGACTGTGGAAAGGAGTTGTAGCAACTAGAACCTGCATTTCTATTTATTGTCAGACAACTGCAAAGTGACTTTATATCATTTTCTTTCAGCTGTAGTGCTATTGTGATTATATGTAATGCAGTTCTGTTTCTATTCAATTAAGTTACTGTTTTTGCATTAAGTTACGTAAGAATTAGGTAACTCTGGCAGCAATTTATTTCTTGCCAGTGTACACATTGTTTTTGTTAGATAATTCTCATGGCTAGTTGATTTCAACTACCTAAGTCAGTCTTTTTGTTAGTTTTTGCTAGTGCCTTGTTGCTTTTTGTTTACTGCCAGACCTGGTTATGCCACAAATTGTAGGTTCATTTCTATTTCATGTAGCTTTGTTGTTATTCTTGTAGTTGTTAGATTTGTACTTGGATTTTTCTGTTAATTATCTATTTTCAGTCTAATCACATCTACCCATCTTTATATCTAAATATTCCTCCATCTGGCAAATAGATTAAATGTGCACTCATTTTGCGGTGTTAAACGTGTAGTATTTAAAAACTAGAATCTTTCAAAAAAGAACTTGACACACACAAACAAAGCACTGGGGAAACCTTAGTCTCAAATCTCTCTTCTTTGAAAATTCAGTAGGGTTGAAAACTCATCCTTAGGAGATCACAAACTGTTCTCCTTTTGGAATCTTTTTTTATGTAAAGAAAACTTATGAAATCCAGCTTTCATTATTTTGTAAAAAAAAAACATCCTAAACCATTCTTTTAACCATTCAGGTTTCCACACTATGAAAGAAGTTGATAACAATCAAGTTTATCCATTTGTACACCTTTAAATTTCAAATTTGCTGGAAAATGTTCTGTAAGACTTCTATAGCTGATGTGTAAAACATTTTCACTTTGCTCTGACATCTCTAAATGCAGCAGAGTCCAACCTAAATAGTTTACCCCCTTAACTTGTTATAACTTATTACAGTTAGCATGCAAAATATCAACACAATAGTATCCAAATTTTGTCCTTCCCAAACTTTTATTGTGTTCCTATTGCAACTAAAAATAATTGGAATATGCAACTTTAATTGTATCTTGTTGGCATTTGGGCAAAACATCCTCTACATCCCCTACATCTGGGGACAATTTACCAGTTTTTTCTCATCCTTCCTCCTTTAAATTGATCACATCTCTTCCTTGATCCTTACTTTCAATATTTGAAGGTTTGTATTACTAGACACCATGTTTGCCTTTAATCATCAATAACCTACTGGTGTGTATTAAAAGGGTAGCACCTCTCTTTTATCAATCCGAATGCTGCATTCGTGGGCAACCACACCATACTCAGTAAACAATAGCCTCTTTTCACTGACTTGTGTTTAATGTCAAGGTAGTGTCTGCTTGCTGTATAAAGTTTCCTCTGTTTATTTGTAATTATGGTGATTTGCAATACCAGGATTAAAAGACATGAATTACACAAGGGCACATAAAATTAAAATCAAAGAATACCTATGGCCAACTTGTGCATAAAGTACTTTATCTAGAGATCAAGCATAATTGTGAACTTGTCATCATTGGTCTGACTTGCAGCAATGCAGGGTTCCTCTTATCTTAAAAGCCTAGCTTCCCAAAAATCACCGAGAGATTCACAATTATGGTAACTATCCAACACTACAGAATAATAGACACATGTAGTCTAAAAAGCAGCACAAAATAGTATCCTGCAGTTACCAAATTTCCGTTTGTAAAAATTCCTCAAATTTAGATGCTGCACTCCAAATCTTCCTTCCCTGCACAAGCCTAATTTCACTATTTTCCATTCTTATATCACATTTTGCCTCACAATTGCCCATTAAATATTTGCATTGTAACACAATGATTTTTGTTTACAGGGTTTTCTCCTGCATACACCTAATAACAAACCTGTAAGTTTTCTGCCTTGGAACAAAAATATCTCACAATGCATTTTATGTGACTGCAAGTTTTTTTGACTGATTGAAATTAAAGATATGAGATGAATTCCACAACTTTTCTTTTGTCAGAAAAGCACAGGCTTATTTTCATCCACCTCTGATTGATCCAGCTGCCAAATTACTCCAGAACTCAACAAATTTTAATTCATTAGGAAGGTAATAACAAAGCCTAACTTTCGTTTTATGCAAGGTTACTAATCCAATATGGTTTCATGCTTTGGTGAGTTTGGGACAACTTATTACCACAGTGCCTACATCTTAGTGAGTAACCCTAACCAATATCCCTGTAAAAACTCCTTTTCACAAGTTAAAAGGGGGCGCTACATTGCTCTTTTTCATCTTGACAAAACAAAACTTTTCATACGTTAGCGTTAATTTTTTGGTGTGAGTGTATTTATTCATTAACTGATCAGAATATCCTTTGGTTTTAAGTCACTTTCATTTCAGTTATTAGCTAAGTAAAAGTTTAACATGTGTGTTGTCGTTTGAACTACACCCGTAACCAAGCCGCCGGTGGATAATCTAACGCATCGGAAAGTGTGATGCAGTATCATATATCTCCTAAAGTAAAAGAGCAGTGAGGCACTCTGCGACAACAAGAACACCATCTTCTCGCAGACACGTCGAACCAATCAAGGAAAATCCGTTTTCAAATAGATAAAGAAATACAACGACACACGGTATCAAATCACGTCCACTAAACTAATCTACGACTAGAAACCTGATAAATTAATAAGGAATGAGTTAATTTGCTTTCTAACACATTCTCACCAGAGTGCTACTTTGCTGTTGATGTCTTGCCGCACAGGAAATGGACTGTGCGTCCTTCTGTCATTGGCCGGCGGAGTCACGTTCTCATAAGCAGGGACAGGAGTCGAGCCCCATCTTGGTATAGAAATAGCGTCCACAAAGCCCTCTGTCACACCAAGGGGATCCATAACACTATTTAACACACTAACCCAAACTAATAAGCTAGTTTTTCTTTGTTCCTACACAATAGATCTCTAGATAGACTGACTTTCACGCGATTTTCAGACCAAGAAGATAAGTATTCCGAAACTCACAGACAGCGAAAGACATCGACAGTTTGATGAAGTATTAATGGCATCAGCTGTATAGTTAGCCAGCGGTCAACAACAGTTTGATTCATATAAGCCTAAGTGGTGTGTATCTAATTTAATTTATTCAAACTAACTTCGTGATCAACCTCTACATACTGTGAGTGCTCTTCAGGTTACAAGGTCGAATGGAAACACGTCACTTAACGAACTGTTCTACATCTCTTCGCATCGGTGAATGAAGAGTCTTGGGGAAATTTTCCTTGAGGCCGTCATTTAGTGATGTAAGTGTGTTCACCACGATGACAAACCGAAACACGTCCAAAAATACAACGATATGAACAGGCCCTGAGTAATGCCTCAAAATAAACTTTCCTTTCTCCTTTTTACTTTCTAAACTTTCCTTACATATTTTCTACCAGTGTCTGTTAGTCACCAAAATTATCCAGTGAAAAATATATAAATGTCACCGTGTGTTTACTGATGCATGTTGATCGAAAAACTATATCGTGTTCTCGCAAGGAACGTGCGCTATTTATCCAGATTACGTAATTTTGTGTGCAGTACAGAATGCAATGCACAGTGTAATACTGAGGACCTGATAAAAACTGAACTCAGTGACTCAAGATATTAACGTTACTATCAACAAAATCTCGTTTTTTGCTCTTTAGACAGAGAAAGCAGTAAGTTTAATTTACCGGAAAAAGTAATTACAAAATCTTAAAGAGAACGCGTGATGCGGCTGGTAAAATGTTGAAGAGGAACTTGCCCTGATGAGCGAAAGGTGTCGTAATCGGAGAGGCCTACAGAACGTTTTCCGCGGACTTTCGTTGGAATCTCGATTTGCATATTTTGTTTCTATGGCGTCTTACACTACTCAACAAAAAGGCATATTTCGCAAAACAAAAGGAAATGCGAGTCTTCACCAAAGGAGAAAGTCGCAAGAGAACCTGAGCCGGAAAACTCGCAGTTGAGTTTTTCTTTTTCCCTAGCTTACTTTCGCAATTGCGCATTTTTCTTTCTTTTTTCCCCGATTAATTTTTGGATTTCGTTTGAGCCATTGTAAATTCGATTTCCCCGTTTCGCGAATTAACCTTTCCCGCGAATTTCAGAGGAATTCTATGTCACGAGACTTGTCAAGGATTTCGATATTGCGTTTCGTTGGTAGGCGGCTTGACCACTTTAAGCGCGCGCTTTGAGGAGGTGCGAAAAATACACATTTCGTTCTGATTCAAGACTGGTTTGTTGGCTCCCGGGTCGATTATGTTTCAAGTCTATCAGAACTACCGACCACCAGTGTTTGGCTATTACACTCAGATAATAATTCATGATTTGGATATGATTTCACTTATTGTCACTGATTGTTGAATGATCGGATCCAACTTCCTTTTATTTCGATTTAACTGTGTATCAAAATCACAGCTTAATTAAAGTGAGGTGTTGGATCCGGTGTCACAGCGGATT